GGTGTACAAACTGTTGCCAGACCATAGCATTTGAAAGATCATTTGTCATGACCTCAACCTATAGTGGTTGAGTAAAGAAATAAAAGAAAAAATAATTACGCACATGAATCTTGACCTTTCTAGGGCAGCTGCTTGCCTTTGGACTTTGCTTCTTCCTGACACACTTTCCTCTGAGCTGCTTATCCACACCTTTACTTTCCTCTTGATTATTCTCATTCTCATCCTCTGAATTGCTCTCATCCTCCTCCTCCTCCTCCTCTTCTTCACTCACATCCTCATCTGATTCTGCAGGAGGTGCTTCAGCATTGCAACTTCCAAGACATTGATACTCAACACGGAAAACAGGTCGAGATTTATCCTTGTACTTTGATGGAACTTTGCGATCCTGAGTTGCCCATTCAAGAAGAAAGGAGCGAGCACGTATGTCCTTAGGCCGATCACAAGGATGACCAAAGAACTGCATAGAGATGAGACCACTGGAGATCTTGTACTCCTGAGGTGAGTAGTCATTCTCCTGTAAAAAGCAAGAAAAAATCAGTAAAAGTATCATAATAATATAAAACATAAAGAATCACAAAATCCTGGAACAGCCTGTACACATTTGCTGTAGGTGTTGTTCCAAGACATGTCCATCCATCCTTCTCTAACCGGGTGAGCCTATTCAGTGGCCTCATATCTGGTGACTCTGTGGTTCCGTGATGTGGCTGTTTCTTTGGTATATGAGACACTTCAATCTGCCAGATAGGTATTTGCATGCTGAACCAGACAGCCTGCACAGTACGTGGAGTGTACTCGTTAGCATTTGGATCCTTCTTGTTGGCCTTCTGGGGAGGTGTGAGAGGCTGAAGAAATTGGGAAGACATGACAGTATCTTGATCAGGAAGTGGATCAGTTCTGATTGCCTGGCCCTTCTTTGATGGATGGCCTGGCTTCTTGCGGGTTGGCTATATGGATTTATCAGAGAAAGATTCAAGGATCAATGATATAAACCATACCTGTTGAGGAGGACCAGGTTTCTTAGCTTTAATGTTGTTGTCAGAAAGGAAGTCGTCAGAATCGTTATCCTGATAGTGTATTTTCTAGTGGAAATGAGTTAGATCTATGATGTATCAAGAAGGGAATCTACTTCTAACCTTCTTCGAACGTCTAGAGCTCTTAGCATCATCTTGATTACTGGCTTTGATCTTAGGTGGACTGGCATCTTCAGACATTGATGTGGAAAGTTATGTTATTGGTTAATGTAGATCTAAGACAAAAGATATCAAATTATCACACTTACTGCTCTCTTCTTTGGGTTCTTCTTAGTTCTACCCATATTGAAGGCCAGAGATGGTGGTGGTAGAGGATCAAGGTAGCACAAGATCACAGCTGTGTGCAGTTGATCAGAGACATCCCAATTAGGAAATTGAAAAAAGCAGGGTTGGATCAGTACTTTTTATGAGAATAATAAGGGTTGGATCAGTACTTTTTATGAGGATAATGGGGGTTGGATCAGTACTTTCTCTTAGAGAATAATGGGGGTTGGATCAGTACTTTCTTTTAGAGGATAATGAGGGTTGGGTCAGTACTTTTATGAGGATAATGGGGGTTGGATCAGTACTTTCTCTTAGAGAATAATGGGGGTTGGATCAGTACTTTCTTTTAGAGGATAATGAGGGTTGGGTCAGTACTTTCTCTTAGAAAATAATAGGGGTTGGATCAGTACTTTCTCTTAGAGAATAATGGGGGTTGGATCAGTACTTTCTCTTAGAGAATAATGGGGGTTGGATCAGTACTTTCTTTTAGAGGATAATGAGGGTTGGGTCAGTACTTTTCTAGCAGAATAATGAGGGTTGGATCAGTACATATTCTTAATCATAATGGGGGTTGATCCAGTACTTTGTTACACTCTGAAATAAGGGTTGGATCACAAGTTGAAAAAAGGTTGTATCAGTACTTTTAAAATGCTAGAATTGAACTTGAAAAGCAGGGTTGCTTCAGTACATCAAGAACCTGGGTTGGATTTGTAGTTTGGTATAGGGTTGGATCAGTACTTCATATTTAGTTACATCAGTAGTTCAATTTCTGGGTTGATTCAGTAGTTACAAAAGCCGGGTTGATTCAAAGACTGCAGGGGGTAGAAACATATTTTGGGAATATATCAACTATCCCCAGGAATTAATATTCGCAACAAAGAACAGAGGCGAAGCTGAGATGTTCCAAGGGGCACACAAGCGCCAGGGTTGAATGTCGAGCGCTATTCTCGGTCACTATCTCGCATTAATGAGTATCGGCGCGAACTGAGAGAGGATAAATCGTAAATATCCCTGTCCACTGAAGGGGCTTTAATTATTGTATGCAGTCGAGAATCCGACATCCACCATCGATCTCAGGCGGTCACCATACGCAATGGTCATCCAAATGAATCTGGGTGCGTTCGCTTTAGCCTCTTGTTCACCAATGAGCAAGAAGAAAAATACGTGCCCAAATCCAATCCAGCTCAAGGTGGCTGCGATAGTGTCCGTAATTGCAGCACCATACTTCTGTACCATGGGTAGGATGAATGCTACCGCAATGGACATGACGATAGAGCGGAACCCACTGGTTTGGAAGCATGAGGATGACCCCGAACGAATGGGAACAGAAATCTTACTTGTTCGCGGCCATCGCCTCAGCACTTTTGGAGTGCATTACGTCAACGACGTAGGACGCTGAGGGGGTGAGGACGAATTCAATCTGAAAGACCTTAAGCTGCCTATCTTGGGAATCTCGTAAAGACGTCAAAAGCTCACCCCAATGCCGTTGACGAACAAGCATATCAAGTTTAACACCAGGCCAGCCCTCCCAGGCACGTACTCTATCAACAGGCCGGAAAATAAAATGGATAGAGGGACGAAGAAGAGCGTGCCAACGATTGTGGCCCGCAGGCGATCCTCGGGATGCCAAATCTCTCCTCGCCCTTTGCGGTATGAGGTGATGACCTGATCGGACACGCGACCTGCCAGTGGCGCACCAACTATTTGAGGTAGGATTCAAATTGTCTCCACGAAAATAAATCCGAGAGGGAACGTACGTATATGTCCGAGACCAGCTGGGAGGAAGCATGCACCAATCAAAGCTTCGTTCGTTATGCCATAGCGAGCTCCCTGATAAGATATTGTTAAGCGAATTAATACACCAATGGGGGCAATGAAGGGCCCTACAATTGTATAAGCCAAAGGTGTCAAGAACACTAAGAACTGCGTGTGAGTACGCAGTTCATCCTAACTGAAGAATTGTCATACTAACCATAGTCTGTGAGGAGCGCCGTAAATCCTGCGAGAGTCTTGTAACGAGGACATTGAGGCCTCTTGTCAGACATTAATCAGGAAGGAAACGCACGACGGCGAGAAGATTTGGGCTTTTAAGAAGCCATAGGGGCCGCAGCGGGTTGATCAAGATTGGTCTCCAGCTTGGAAGAGAGGCTGGGTCAGCTTTCTCGACACCCCGTTCACCGGGGTGATACGTTTCTGGGAAGAAGATGAGAATGCAGAAGAATATGCCAAGGCCCATGAAGCCGAGGCAGAGTTGCATGAAACGCCAGGAAAAGTAGTGTGTTGCGAGACCTTTGTGCGAAGAATTAGGGCAAATTGATATTGAGACCTGATAGAAGATAGGAGCAAACCTCCGGCAAAAGGAGCAAGAGCCGAACCAAATAGCGTAGCCTATTGGATGCTTAAAATGTGAAACAAAAGCATAGAGCATTAGCGTACCGAGAAAAAGATCCCCATTGCCTGTCCGCGCTCCTCCACCCTGTAGATGTCCCCCATCACACCCGATCCAACGGCCAAGTCAGGCGATGCGCCGACGGCTTGTATGAATCGCCAGACCATCAGGTGAGATATTGTTTGGGCAGACGCGAGTCCCAGCGATCCAAGAAATAGAAGAGGTGTTCCTGTGAGGTATACAGGTTTTCTACCATCTGTACAGCATGGGAGAGATAAGGGATTATTGAACATAGATAAGACTCTGCTTACAAAAGGAAGAATACGAAGACCCTAGGAGGCTACCTAGAGATGTTGCGAGCACTGAAAGACTTACAGCAAGGCTAAAACCGTTGTATTGGGCATTAGTCTCTGGGTTGGGAGCAGCAATTGTCTTCTGACTCTCACCTTACGACTGCACCGGTTGAGTTGAGATCTTTGGCTATTTGGGGTATAGAAGGAACGAAAGTTCCTGAAACAAAGGCTTGATGCAGTCGGTATAATGATCAGAGTTTGAATATGTTGTAGAGTAAAGTGGTTCAGAACACCTACGAGGGAGAAGGCCGGTGAGTGAGGCAATGGCCACGATCATCCTCTTCTTCGTCGGACTGAACCTCCGATAGACCTCCTCGTATTGCGCTGGTCGTAGCAAGGGTTCCTGTTCAGAATGAGTTGTCATGTCGGGAATAAATGGTCTCCCAAATGTAGGAGGCAAATACTCTTGTGTGGCCATTGACAACGTTCGACCTGAGCATCCTTATCTGGGAACAAACATCCTATAAATAAAAGCTGGTACAGGGTCCGACGAAGTCCATGATCAATGACTGCGTACACGTCGGTGGGGGTTCGCCTTTCGCGGGTGTCACCGGGGAGGTTCCTTCGTGTTCGCAGCATGATAACCGTTGCAGCCAGGCTCGATTCCACTTCCGATTCGCCAGGATCCGCTTCTTGCCTGCAAGGAAGGCGGCCACCATGAAGACAGCCCAAAAGATGATTGCCATCACCCGGACTCGGATCGCGACAGAAAGCGAGGTGTTCTTGGTGTGGTCGGGGATGAGTGTTGGACACGGTGGCTAGTCGGATTGGGCGAAGAAACGAGTATCGCTGTAAGGATCACACGCTCATCAAATTATGAAGACGTAAGCGTCGTAAGCCGTACATGTAGTTACAGCTTATATATTATAGAAAAAAAATGCGGTTTCGAGAATAGGTGGTACTTAGAATTAAAGGGCGAGAGGATCCAAGCCCAGCAGAGAAAGGCTAGCTTTTTGGAACATGGTCGGAATCATCCAGTGATGCGGCTGGCCGCGCTAAATATATGCTCGCAGTTTATTCACCACTGCCACCACCACCCTCCAACTCGCGCTCCTGGAGGATTTCCTGAACGAAGAAGCCGGCTATTTTACAGCAGTCAACATTTGCAACAATCAGAAGAACAAGCATGATTAGACATACCTCTAGCCCGAAGCTGACATATTCCAAGGGAGGCTCAACATGATCAGGATGCTGAGTGCAGTTATCGGCCGTATAGGGAAAGAAAGCATCCCCTTTGACCTTCTCCACAACTTCCGGAGATGAACCGGGAGAAGGAGGCGGGGGAATGAACCGTAGGGAGGGATTGACGATCGGGCATTCTGGAAGATATACTTGGAGATAGGACACTGGGAGAATATAGGGCGTGGCGTCATAGCCCGCGCCTCCTGTGCGTATGAAGGCTATGGAAGACGCCAATATACCGTGAGTTTAAGCATGTAGGCGAGGGGAAAAGGCACATCCTTCCCGGCTTCCTTGGAGTAATACAAGATGCCGCCACGGCTCTGCACTTCTACGAAGTTTCCAGCCTCCCCAGCAGCACTATCGCATGTGGACCTAATCTTCTTTGGAATAAGGCTCGGCTCATCCTCTTGGGTCTCACCGGTTTTCTATTACGCAGTGGCAGTCGATTCTCAGCTTTTCAACGGTCGAATACCGACACATATTATAATAAAACTCACCAGTGTGTAAACCCAATGGCCGATCTCAGCACCGCCTGAAGCTGCAACCTCTTGTCAGATGCCGAGTCCAAGTGCCCTCCAGCCTGACCCTCCTCCCACAGTTGCACATACTCCTCCGAGATGCAGATGAAACCCCAGAGCGAAGGCCGCCTCATGTGGAACGCATACATCTCGACCGTACCGCTGACTACAACGACATTGGGCGGATGGGAGCGGAGGAGGTCGCGCATGTCCCGCCGGTTGGCAACAATCTCGTCGCTATTCGCCGCGTGCGCCCGCCAGGCTGGACTGGAGGAGTCGTTGGGACTGTGTGTTGAAGGATTCATAAGTTGTTTGGAAGACGTCGCCCGCGGAAATGGAAGTCAGAGTCAAGTCAAAAACCACCGTTGTATGTAGGGGAAGGAAGCGTGCATGAAGAAGTCGTGACGCTACAGTGAGACATCCTGAAAAGGTCTCCGGATGACAGCCACACAAAGCTTCTTTGCAGTGCCATATGTACTACCTGGAAAACCGAAGAATTCAATCACGGTTCACAAGCAAAAGAACGCATATTGATGAATCTACACAGCACCAAGTGGCTTTTCGAAGAACGATGGCCCATGACCTCATAACTCAAGCGTTCTTACTCTTATAAAGTAGCACGTACGCACTCGAGTCCTCTCCTCCTCCATCAAGCGTGCCAAGCTTCTCCTTCGGGAATTCCGACACTTTTTCATCGTCGAACTTGTACCAGTCCTCGTCGCCTTCGAGGTCGTCGAGCTCCTGTGACGTCATTCCCATCGTCGATGCGGCCGCGGATGTGGACGTCGCGCCCGCAAGCGCAGAGAGGAACTTGCCACCGTCCTTGTACGCGTGGAAGACGCTCTTCTTGACATAACCCATGTAATGACCAGCGTCAGCTGCGGCACCCTTGTGTGTAATGATGGCTTGAGAGAGGGGTTAGTGGGATAGCATGCAAGGGTAGCAGTGGCCGTAAGGGGTGACTTACCAACAAGGCCGTACAATCCCGTAGTGCTGCTCCCGATGTCCTTCTTCACGTCCTCGTCGATGACCTTGTCCATTTCCTCTGCCTCTCGCTGGCGGTACACAAGCTCGTCTTCCAACTCGGCTGCAGCTTGAACTTCTTTTCGCTCCTTCTCTCTCTCAGCCTCCGCGACCGGATCTATCACCACATGTGCGTGCACCACAGGGGCGGAACCGTCGGCCATGTCGACATCTTGACTAACAACAGTGCCAACGGCATTCGCCAGGGAAAGAGGAACTGAAGATGGAACGACTACGCTCTTGGTCTTCTTCCTGACCTTTCGCCTTTCAGCGCGTTCCTTCTCAATATCTTTTAGCTTTCGGCTGGCAGGTAGGAGCTTCGTACGGAGCTCTTCCGTCGCAATATCGAGAGCATCGAACTCAAGAGGGAATTTGACTTTACGCTGGAAGAACATGTCAATAACGAAATTCTGTAAAGGATAATGGGCGTACCATGATCTTGGCCTTCTTGCTAATATCCTCCCTCCAGGCGAATCGCACCATGTGTACCGTCAAGTACGTGGGTAGTCTAGACATGCGCGATTTTTGAGTGTAATTGGCTTGCCTCCCTAGCGATGGGGAGGTTTTCTCAAGCGTCGTATCGAGAGACTGATTCCTAAAGGGTTAGAATTGCTATCGTGAGAGGAGGGTGGGGCTTACGTTCATGATTCCGGAAAGCATGAAGTTTGTGGTGATGGTGATATTGCACTCGACCTTCAGCACAGGCTCAGATGAGATTGTTGCCGGCTCTTCAGGGGCTTCGTCACACTTTAGTCTGATTTGACGTCGAAGTCATTCACGAGGGACAGGTAAGATGAAGGAACACTCACTCTCGACGCATCTCTCCCATGAGATATTGTTCCACAAATTTCTTCGTTCCCGTAACAGCTTCGGGTCCCGTGCTGAGAGACTTTCCTTCCGCATCCAGTCCAGGTACGTTCCGTAGAGAGTTTACGATGGCATTATAGCACTCCTCGGCATCTAGGAGGCACGGAGTTTAAAAACTAGGCTTGCCAACAAGTCGACGAAAGAAGTTCAAGGACGAACCTTGCTGAGAATACACCTGCCTGCCCATCATGAAATCTTGGGCTCGCTTCTCGGTGCGGTCCATCTCCGCGAATTGGGGGTTCACCTGGCAATAATTGATTGAGTACTCCATCAAAAACAATGTGGCAGAAGGACCATACTCACTTGCCGCAGAACTTGCAGGAACTTGATGGGGGTTATACCGTCTGTAGTAAGAGTCATGTTACGATAGAGATCGCGCAGAGATTCTGGGAGAGGTGTTGTTGATTGTAATGAGGGGCTGTTACCTGACGTTCTATCAGAAGTCTACAGCAAGAATGAACTAGGACGCACGCGGTCAATGCAACTTGGAGCTCTGGCACAGCTCGAAGGGCTTGAACAGTGGCATTCATGTAGCACGTATTCCCAAGGCTGCGATGGAGTATATTTCGTGAGAATTCTCATTCGAGGAGTCCGGAGAGGTGTTCGGAGAGGAAGACTGGGATGGAAGGAGGATGCACGAATGAGACATACTTGGTCAATCCTACTGGCTTTGCGAGCTGAGAACAATGTAAGCCCGAAATTAACATAGAATTGATGAGACTAGACCCGTACTGCTTGTGCCAATTCCGAATCATCCATATCTGCGCTGTGGCGTCAGTACCTGCGAAGATGCTCAGAGACTTTGTAAGATTACCTTCTAGGAAGACGACGGGTTTGGTAGGTGCTTTAGGTAGCTCTCCTGCAGCCCCAATGACCATGAACGTTTGGCCCTGTAGGTGCGCAAAGTATGAAGCCACAGCATGATACACGGGACGAGCGCTAAACAAACCTCCTTAGGACCGATTTTCTTCCATGACGAGTCGTCCTGCAGAGCAAAGCATGAAAGAATTAAGACCTTTTGAGACCGTCAAACGGTTTCCACACGTTGCGTACCCTCAAAACTCCTCCTTTAACCATGACCTTCATTCGATCAGGTGGGACACCCGTCAGTTGGTAGACCGAGTCCTTGAAGACAGCTGGTGGGAGATCGGGGTCGAGCTGGATGTCGTAGGTCTTCCCTGCATGTTTTATATGGACTGGGATGGGAGCCATGGTAGCTGATTCGCGTCCGATGGTGGGGGTTTGGTGGTGGTAGGAAAAGAAGACCGGGTTTGTGGGGGACGCGCCTCCACAAAAGTGATGAAGCGACGCGTCACCGTCACGGGATGGCTCGGTTCGGCCCCGACCGGTTCACACGCCTGGGGCTGGATGACGTCGGCGGTTCGGATCTGCTGTCTCGTGTTAGCCTGCGTCCAGACCGCTTCCTCCCTACTTCCACGTACTCGACTGCGCCTTTCTTCCCTTCATAAACAACCAGAACGGCGTCCTTCAAAGAAACTTGCAGCACACACTATGACGATCTAGTATGTCCTATCCAGAACTCGCAACGCTGTTGCTGACCATCGTTCTCCAGTTACTCGCTGACGTTTTTGCTGCTCGCAGCGGAGGTTTGCGTCGATTCCACCACCTTGTCGTCTATGATTGCCAAACTTCTCAAATAGATGATCACTTTTTGCCTCCTCGTCGCACCTCTCCCATACGCGCTCAAGAAACGCCTTTTCACATTCCTCTCTGAATCACCAATAGTTGCCAAAATCGCATATGGGCTGAAGATTTCGTTCATGTGTGTTTCGCATGTCGACCTTGGAGTTTCCGTCAACTGACCTTACGGCTCTTCAGCTTCGTTACCATCCTCTTCGCCGACGCCCTACAACGAATGTTCCGTGTCACCGCCGAGTCAGACCTCGCGAGGTCTGGGAAGCAGGGAGTTATCCAGGACATTCGAACCGATACAAACCTCGCGGCGAAGAAATTCTAGTACGCTCTTCCGCCTTCTCTCTATTTTTCCAATTGCAGTGAACACCTCCGTCCCTCCTGCCACTTCTCCCTAATTCCTCATTTTACACTTTTACTCAGACTGATCATTTCTTTCCTCTCAGCGCGCAACGCAACACCTACCTGACAGGCTTCTGTCTCTTCCTCTCGCTTGTCCTCACCCGCACGTTCTATATTATCCTCGACCTCATCCACACGCAAGAGGAATACGCGAAGCTGAAGAAGACAGTACGTCATTCTTTCGTGCAGGGCATACCTTGGTCTCGGCCTTGTCATGTTACTCATTATTCTTACTATAATGTAGGCGGCATCAAACGGCTCCCAATCAGAAGAAATTACCCAACTGAAGAAGCAACTCGAAGAAGCGAAGAAGGTTGAGCGGGATTTCGGTGCGTGCCTCTTCCATTATCTTACGCTCATCCATTGACTTGATTTGTTGCCCGTAGCAATCCTGAAGCAGCAGGCGAAGCAGAACAACGATGAGTACAACCGCCTTGCGACTGAGCTTAACGACCTCTCGGGGAACAAGTCGAATAAGCGTGTCGACTAATTTTCTTGTCAATCCTTTTGGTTTTTCTAATTATCTTCTTATGATTTGTCGTAGCCAACATGACATACTACATGTGATCGTTTTGTCGAGATTCTCTGTTAAGTGCTGTGGGTAGAACGTCTGGCCACAGGCCCATGAAAGGGGAACTTCTGCTGGGTCGCAGCAACTAAGACCTAGTCGTTGCAGATCCGCTGAGGCAAAACGGCCCAGGCAATAACCTGCTGTTTAACGACGTTTGGGGATCAACACCATACTCCAGTGCGCAGTTGCATGTCTCCCGATTACATCGGACTTGAACGGTAATACGCAAATGCCAGTGATGAGCAGGGTCTCGCGAAGGACAAACTGTGACTCTATGCCATGACAGGAAGGAAGATTTAATTATCGGGAAGCCCCCAATGAGAAATATCCATGAAGTTCTTTCCGGGGAAGAAATATTGGCGCAGCCAAGAAAAGTTGGATTTATCATTCTAGGGTCCACTATTATCTTTCCGGCAACGTATCCCCCTTTTGCTGACCTTTGGGGAAGAGCGCCTCGTGGAACGCTCCGACAAAAAGTGACTGCTGTGAATTTACGCTGTGCGATCTGTCGACATCCATCAACTCGGGACAGAAGCTACAGAAGCCTCGTGGTGATTTCTGAGTCTTATTGCAACAAGAAGTGAGTGTCCTTGACTCTGAGCGCCATTCTCTCCGATCCCCAAAGGGTTCCTCCGAAGAAATATCTAACTACTGCATGCCAAAAAAGTCGTAGTCTTGGCAGAAGTGATGCTTGTGGGTCCATTGACGGCATTTCCGCAGCCGGCTGGCTAATATGGATTGCTGTGCGCCACGCAAAGTGACACATGTGCCGTAATAAGTCGTATGGCACTCTGGTGAGTGAGGAAGCCTGAGTGTCGGTTGGTAGATGCCAGCATACTTAAATGTTCGCAACCATGGCTTTGACACGACTGCTTCCGTGGTTCCAAAAAAGGCACATTGGATGGGCAGCACTGCACCACGAAGGCCAAATTTAGGAACGCCTACGTTATTCCCGCTCAGCCGTTGGAAAGCCTGGCCGTGAATAAGAAAACCCACAGAATTGCAATGGCAGGAGGTGTACCTGAACAAGCATCTCTCCTTTCAAATGGCTTGCAAGTGATAAGGTCCGGAATTAGTCTGCCCTCAGCTTCATCGATTACGCGGTGCTGTGTTCTGTGTGGAACGAAGTGACAAGGTCTAATTTGTGTGCAGTTGTGTGCTACAGCTGTAGCAAAATCGCCTTTCTTTTTTTCTAATCAGGCATTGCTGTTTCTTGCTCGCGTGCCGATTCATGTCGTGAGTTTTTAAAATAAGAGGCAGATTTATTATCGAACAACATAAGCACTAGTACGAGTCATCACACAGGCCATAGAAAGTGCACGGGAGAGATTCAGAGATCACATGTATTGTGGAAGCCCGTCCGGGAGCGACAGAAGACCGTTCTGGGGCAGCGAAATCTTGCGGTTTCAATATTGAATGTTCACTCTGGTTCCGGCCGGGGCAGGCCTGAGCTGGTGTTGAGCATAGGACCTGGTCTCCCCATTGACGGTTACGCTGTAGTGAATCGTCCTGGAATGCTAGAGAAATACCGATGAAATAAAAGGCATACGCTAAAATGTATCCACACGTACATCAGGACTTATCCCGTGGTGAGGATTGATCGTGGTGAGGATTGATTCTGCCATATAACCCATGATATTCATAATTTCTATCATTTATAACCACGTAACGCTGTGAATTCGCCAGCTTTTGAATCAGTGCGCATACACAGGCCAAGGTTGTGGAAACCCACCCCGAGGATGTTGGGAATGTTGTTTGCAACTATAACGGACATTTCGGTCTCTTGGGGCTGCTGGCCACCGTTGCCAGAGGAGTTTCCTTCAGTAGCGCTGGTAGACATGTTGCAGAAACTGTTGGGGTGAGCGTCGAGGAAGATGGGTGATGAACTTGGAACTGGGGATGAACAGAGAACTGAGGCCTTTTATACGCCTTTATAGACCTATTTTTGTGCTAGATACATTTACCGGATGAATTAAATTGCTGTTGAGCAATTTCTGGAGTCAGAATGAGAAACAGAGAGTACGTCCACCGCGCCGGTCGAACCTTTAGGTTGCCCTTTGGGGAAGGGATACACTGCAAATTCCGACATATCGGACGCGTTCCATACCACATATCACACTCCTTCTTTGAGATCTATGCATAGATGATACTGTGATTAGAATCTCAAGCGCCCGTGCACTAGTATTCACACATCCCGAGTAATGAGTCGGATGACCGGCACCAGGCACTGCAGTGGTCAGATAATTACTTCCGATTTCGCCCTCACATGATCCATTATAACCCATTGCGTAACGGTATAGATTGACAAGCCGAGTGGGTTTTCCTAGTCAAACCCCGCAATCTCGTGCCGCCAGATTCGCCGCCCACAAGCTACAGCATCTCATAACTTGCACAAACAAGACCAAAGCAATACAGCACTTCGTTTGTCTTCAACCACCACTTCAACACCTCAAGGCCTCAAATTCGCTCTTGGTCTGTCGCACACTCAACGCACAAGCTCTTATGCTTCAAGATAAAGGTCAAATCATCCTTCAATGTGCCGGTTCGCGTTCTAAACGATTGATTTAGAGGTCAATGTCACGGCCGCAGATGATGCTTACTCTGTACCGATCGTTGCCTCTCTCGATTTGCCAGTGAACTCCTGTCTCATGATTTATTCAGAAGCTGCCTGAAACATACGAGATGTGGCAGAACTTGGTCAATACTCTATTCCCAACTACCGCTGACTCGATTCGAGAGAAACACGCGAATGCTCGACCGGAGAAGTTCTGGTGGTATCCGTGGATGACCTTGCGCCCGTTCTTCAAGTCCAAAGGGTACACCCTCTTTGACTACGACATATCAAAGAAAAATCGGCTGCCCAAATTTGAAGGGTCACCCGCTCTGGACTCTTTTGGACTCTTCGGGAATCGTGACCCAAAAGTGATGGAGCGGACCTGGGGCAACTCGGTTAGTACAACCCCCACGAGAGCGCATTTTCACCTGCGCTAACAACCTATATTGCGCTAAGTCTACTACAGCTTGGCCTGCCCGAGATGAGTATGTTCCCCTCCTACCCCACCGAGAAGTCTGCGTTGATGGTTAGAAGACAAAACAGGGATGTTATGATTAAAGTTGTCGCCAAAACCTTCCAGGAATGTCCTGAGGGGTCGACTGAGCTTCGCATATTGAAATTCTTGAGCTCTTCCGCTATGAGAGCCGATCCCAGGAACTCGACCATCAAAATCCTGGAATTTCACGATTATCATGGATGGCAGTTCGTGGTCATGCCATATCTTGATTGCTGCGCCGATTATCCCTTCTTGTCGTTGAAGGAATGCCTCGACTTTGCTTGTCAACTATTGGATGTAAGACCTTTCTTGAATTGCACTTCTGCGTAGTTGAAATGCCTTCGGTTCGTGTAGACACTAGCCTTTCTGCACGAGAACAAAATCGCTCATCTCGCAAGTCCTTTTCTTACCTTCTACTATTTCCTCTGCTGACCTCTTCGACGGAAGGACATCTCTCACGAAAACATCTTAATGAATCACCATGGTGCTCTTCCCAGGAGGGAATGCATCACCGAAGAAGCTATCCTAATATTTGACCCAGTGCCAGAATTTCGATCCACCTTCCCGGTCAAGTATTTTATGATCGACTTTGGAAATTCGGTCTTCTTTTCACCAGGACTTATACCTTCCGAATGCCTTGTTCCCCCAAAGGATTGGGGGCGACCGCATCGCGCTCCGGAAACGAGTGGACATGCGGTGTTCAACCCTTTTGCGGCTGATGTGTACCAAACTGCGCAGTTCTTCTATATATTTTTTGGGGTAAGCCCCAGTCGCCTACAGGTTACTGCTTCCAGCCCCTGATGTGAGCCATGTCGTCTAGAAGGCGATCTCCCCCGCCATCCCCGGTCTTCTGGAATTGTTGCAAGACATGGCGAGTGACCAGCCATCTGAACGCATCTCGATGGGAACTGCAGCCTCTCGAATGAGGAAGTTGTACGAGACCTTATTGCGAGAGAACTCGCAGGTCGACAAGGTTGTTGTCGAACTTGCGGATTTTGAGAAAATCCCAAGGCGCTTGTAGGACCTTATGTATCCGTCCCCATAGCCCCAATTCGCATCGTGCTCCAGAAACGCAATATGAAAGATTGCTAGATGTTCGTAGGAATGAGTAGCATAATCGTACCATGACATGTATTCGCTATTCGGGCAAGGCGCTCCGGCAGGCCGCTTGATACTTATCCACTCTTTTCGTGAGCAACAGTTGTCAAGTTGGACGATGGTGTCATATCAGCGAGCCTCTCCACTTCCTGGTCAAATTTCTGGGGCCTAGTTAGATGCCACGGCGCTCACATCATAAGGGATAAGCGCCCGAAGGATTTAATGCGTCAATATTTCACAATCGTCGCGAGTGGCGTATGCACCGTCCTAGCATATCATTGGGCCTAAAACACACTGGCAGTCAGATCCGATTCTTTGCGTAGCTCATGACAAATCGTCGACTCAAGGAATTACATGTCTGATGGTCGGGTTCGGGATCCTTCCTTTACCTTACAGAAGTGCGAAAGGGTCAATACTGTGTATATCCATCACCTATCGCAAATGAAACGTACGGAGACAGGCCGCCATTAGGCTCGCAACCCATGTCGAGAGACCAGAAAGACTTTAGTACGAAAAGGGAATTGAACGCACGAACGAAGCAGAATGACCTTCTTGACCTCGTCTTTCTTAGCATGCCGGCATCTTTCTCGGGTATTGCTTAGGAATACCTCTTCGACCAGAAAACTCGAACCGACGCCCTATCGATTGCAGGAAGAGTAATTCCGAGCCTGCGTCTGACGCCATCTCAGGATCGCGACGAGTTGCATGGGCCACATACGGGGCCCGCAGCGAACTAAGTAGCTGGAAATATTATGTCTTCGAGCGATGGCATATCAAGTTCTCTACAGTGAACGTGTCGTCGAAAAGTTTCATGGTGTCCTAGCTGGACACTTAGTCGACTTGAAGATCCCGACTTCCTCTGGAAGTGACACACGTTGAAGAGGTGGCCGGCGACGGAATCGCTGGGCGGCCGCTGGGTGGCCCATTGTAGTTAGAAATAATGTCTCTGTGAGTCGCCGAGCATAACTGAAAGCGCTTTGGCGCCGCCGAGGAGTTGTCCGTATGTTGATTATGCGCTGAGACAGATAGACGAGATAGGGCAAGCCAGGAGCAAGAATGGGAGTGGGAAGCTTTTCACGGAGTGGGGGGGAGGAGGACATTGGTATAGTAACATAGGACAAGGCAGAAGGTCTAAAGAAATCGTAAGTGACAGCCAGTGGATGTGCTCAGAGGACAAATAAAAAGACGAGAAGGTCAGGTTTTCGATGTATATCAACAATTACCCCGCCCATCTCCTTTTTGTACACCGGAGACTTTGTTGAGGCAGGGAATTCGTGTCCGCCCATCGAGTGAATTTCATCACCACAAAAAAAAAAGAAGGCGAGGGGAACCGAAAGAAGGGACACTCACTCAGTTCCCGACCATCCAGGGCCGAAGCTCAGTTCATACACAAACCTTCCTAGGAATAGAGAAGACGTTAGAAACATGCATTCAGCGAGAGATAAGGAAATGGGAAAGTCAGACAAGGCTGAAATCGATAAAGTATTCCACAGCGATGGTTCGGAATGTGGTAAAGTATGGTATGTAGAGAAATCATCACTCCCTGAGGTGGTCCCCAGGTGGTCCAGAGAGTAAGAAACGCACCATAGAATCACCCTGAAAAGGTTTGACGTCGCGGTCGAAGTCGAGGATAGAAGAAAATAAAGTTCGCTGAAAAGATTCTAGTCCCGTTTCAGAGTCCGCCGGAGAGCCAAGCCAATGTACCACGTGACCGTTTCAGATAACTTCGAGCATCTTCTCCTGCTTTCGCGATTCCTCCAGTACACGATTTCGACGAATATATCTGCGAAACCCGAACTCTGCGCACTCTTCTTTATTTCACCCTTGTATCTCATCCGCAAGAATCATAAAACGCGTTTCAGCCCCGTGGCCGCCATCCAAAATGCAATCGATTCTGCGATGGTCACTAGAAAACTCCACACCACTAGACAGCGCGGCAAGGAGCCAGCCACCAGAGGGGCGCAATACAATAGACCCGGAAGTCATTGACATGATTCTTGGGAAGCCTGATGCGGTGAAGATGAAAGAAAGCATGGCGATTGCAGTCGATCCGAGCAAATTAGAAGACGAAAGGATCGCTGCATTAGATGATCTCGAGATGGTGCGCTTTCCTCGTTAACGGGATGCCGTTTGGGTCTGACTAACTTTTTGTTCTAGTTGATTGAACATATCGACAATGCGAACGGTATGTCCTCTGTGGCTGTCGCTTTCACTTGCTTCTCATCTAGAATCTCTTGTCTTCTAGATTTACAGAAACTTGGACTATGGGAGCCCCTTCAATCTCTCCTAACCGCGGAATCATCTACTCCGAAAATAAGAACGCAAGCACTGTGGGCTATTGGAACAGCTGTCCAAAACAATCCGTCAGCGCAAGATGTGGTACGTCCCACTCAAATTCCTTCCAGCGGTACAGGAGTTTCTGATGCGGCTGTCCAGTATCTTTCTTACGACCCCCTGCCCGTCCTTCTATCATTCCTCGACCCTTCATCATCGTCCGGCGCCGCAGGGCGGGCAAAGGCGATATACACCTTGTCCGGTCTCCTAAAACATCACGCGCCTGCAGTCGCGTCCCTTGGGAAGCCTGAAGTCAATGGCTGGCCACGTTTACGCGATGCGCTTCAAGGTGAGTAGCAGACGCGATCGGTGCACTTCCAGTATTTTAACTATTTGTCATATGAATAGATCCCTCCATCTCTGTACGCCGGAAGGCAGTCTTCCTTCTCGGCACGCTGCTCACGCCAACATCTCCTTCCACTTCCCGTCAATCCACAAACTCCCCAGCACCTCAGAACGCTCAATAACGCTCTCCGAATATCCGAACCCAACATTCTCACTCCCGATGATCGCCCAGCTGCTTCCTCCGGTCCGGTCCACGCTAACTCACACGCCGCACATCTTCAAGACCCTTCGCGAACCGCGACGTCCACAATTACCCTTATCGCGTTCAGGGAGCATAGAATTCTGGATGCGATCATCTCCTCGATAACCACTCCCCTCCCACACGGCAGCGATGGCGAGAACACTGACGTCGATGTGGACTACGAGGAGAATGCAATACGCCTTTTGCATACATATGGAGTGACGTGCAGTGGAGAGCTATCGAAAGAACAGAAGAAGGCCTTGAAGAGCTGGATACAGGCTGAGAAGACGAAGGTCGGCGAGAACGAGCTTCTAGAGAAGTGGAGTCTCGGCAGAGAGGAATACGCGGCGCTTGTCGGAAAGCTGTTGTAATTAGACCTGAATTGTAATCTAGTAATCGACACTGTAAGTACTCGCACTACCCAACGAGTCCTTCAGAAGGACTTTACTCTACCTTTTCAAGTGCGCTGTTGCCGAATTACATATACTATATCACATAGGCGCCGGTGTCTGGCGCGTGATCCTAGAGACCGTCTTGCCCTCCCCGCGTCGCGGATTCGACTCAGAAAAATGGTGGAGATTCACGAATATGATTGGATACAACCTAGACACTACGACCAGCCCGCCAAAGAGTCGCTTGTCTCACGTTCACCAGCCTGTCCTACAGTATCATCCGGATAGCCGGCTTTTAATGTTTAATTTTGGTTCAATTGATAGAAATACATAAAAGCAGAGAGGAGAAAGCAGCGAGAGACCTCTAGCGGATAGCACAACAAATCGACTGAAGAAAAGAATCTAGTCCGAGTTCACTAAACTGGATTAAGTCTTTATTGTGTCGCCGCGGTGCGTTGATGTGAATCTCGAATAGGGTTGATGCCAGGTACAAGGCCCGTGTTCAAATGTTCTCAATAATGCGGGACCACGGTAGGTACCTTGACTGCGAGCAAATTGACGCGCTGTCTCGACGCTGTCCATGGATTGACAGCCACTACCAACAAGTCTCGATTGCGTGCTGTTAGGGAAGGACACTCAATTAAATAATATTGGCCAGGAGGAGGCGCTTCGGAATTGTACCTAGCCTTTGGATCATCCATCCGAACCTCCGTCTATTAGCCCCGTCCCAAGGCGCTCAGCGGCAGTGCAGTGACACCCTGAAGCGACTGAGGTCGGACATTAAGATATGTATTATGTAGCTAGCACAAAGTAGCGAAAGCAATGCGATAACGTCTTCGAATAGCGAAAGAAAGCGATAAATTACATGTCTAATCTATAGTACAGATAGCCTTCAAAATCCCAGTGGAAACGAAACGAAAGCGAATGCCAATCTATATAACAACAGATTAAAGCAGTTAAGGAATGATGTTGAGAGGGGCTATGAAAGAGTCCTGAACGATTTCTCGGAATCGAGTACAGGCCTTTCTTTGCTGGAAGTGGACGATACGGCGGACGAGGTCTTCGAGGCAAGTTCAGGGTCGGCGGAGAGGGGACGAGATGTAGGATACGAAAATGTGCTGTACAGGCGACGTGACGGGGCGGTACGTTGTGTGTTGCCAAAGTTTGAGCCGAGATCCGTCAGAGTAACGACAGATCTCTGCGACTCGGAGGTGGGGGTTGGATTGCTCGGGGTGTCGGGGTCATGGGAAGGGCGGGTAGGGTTTGATTCCTCGGTTTCCGTGCGTGTTTCACTTGTAGTATCGCAGAAGACACTGTATACTCGAGTGACGAGGACGAGGAGATTACAGATAGTAACAGCTACGCCGAGCTTCGGAAGAAATAAGCGACCGAGGCGACGAAACAAAGTAACTAACCACGTACCTGAATATGAGCCGTAATTCCTACCCAAGCTGGTATGCGCACCACAATAAAATACGCGTGCGCGATGCTCGCAAAGGTGATGAATATGGAACAGCTGAATATCGCTATAAGGAGCCGGCGATGTCGACGCGGTAGTTTCATCCTCCACAGGAGAAAAATTGGAGAGCAAAGAAGCCACATATCTCCGATGAGGTCAGCTGCAAATTCGGATAGGTCAGTTGGGTAATTGAACCAGTGAAAAGTTTGGAATTACTGGCGAGCTCGATATAGGCGGTTGCACGAGGCAGCCTGCAATCAGGCACCTCATGCCACCTGGTTCCGCAGATAAAGATTTTTTGGATTGAGAGAGCGAGCCAAAATACGACGAATAGGGCGACAACTGCCTTCGCAATTGTTCGAAAGAGGCTCTCGTTGATGAGGCGTACAATAGTGACGGCAATGGAAGCGCGAGCAGACCTACGCGGACGGTTCAGACCACGACGCCTTTCCAGAATGCAAGGGACTCACCAAAGTCCCAGAGTATAGACAAGTATCGTTCCAAATTTCCAAAAGATTTGTATCCCGAGTGGCTTGGAAACTGGACGGCGCTGGAAGTCAGAGATCATCAGCTCGTCATCGATAAACGAGCAGGACTCACAAAGGTCTCGCGTCGGAATAGCCACGAATAAGATCCATACGAACATGTCGCTCAAAAGCGCTACGAATGCCCAGAAATCGTCCCACCATAATTTGCGCGTACGCGAGCGCTGCCAAAGCCGGAAGAATGTCGTGAGAAATGCGATGGAATGGGATATGGCGAGTATGGCTGTACAGACTCAGCATAAGTCGTGATTCACGATGACGGAGATGCAACAACATACACACTATCGTAGAGAATGGCGGTCTTTTCGAAGATGGGGAGAACTCTCCCCCAGACCCCGACATGGGTTTTGAGGTTATGCAAGGCGTAAGTGGAGGGGCTAGACGCGACGCTCAGCGGGCCCCCTCACATAGGCCAAAGGCGTGAAGAGAGGGAAAGGCATGAAGAACAGGCCCCGAGGAATCGTTCTAGATATACAAACTCCGCGAAGACCGCCAGACTGGGTTTGGCGCGGTGACTGAATGACCGATTACGAAACTGTCAAAAGCAATTAAACATAAGACCTAAAGAGAACAGAAGGTGATGGATGCCGTCAGACCCATGCTAAAACGCATTTGCACTAATTGAGCCAGCAGAAACATGACCCGGAGTACCAGTGAGTTTGTGTCGAGAAAAGAGGGATTATGATGAAGACGCTGAAGTCCTCGAAGCTGTATTTTCAAAGAGATCGATCATGGTGTTCTTGGCGTGGATGAAAAACCCGCAAAGCTCCGAACTGATATTCCACGATCGTGTTCCTTGACCTGAACGAGTGGCGCTGTTACCGGATTTTCCCATGCTCTAGACCTTCGGAAAGTCTAATTGATAAGCGACGCGTTGGGAGGAGTCTCTGATTTCAGCATATTTTTCCCTGGAAGGATGCTATGGAACAATTTGAGAACATCGATATCGCAAACATAGAACTAGAAGTACGAGTTAAAAAGCTTGCCTTCAGTTGAGTAAAATTGCTAATGGGTGCCGCACCTAGGGAACCGACAGAAAATTGGAACAATCGCAACGGATTTCGCGCAACAACCTACATAGAGACAAAAATCACTTTCTTTCCAAATACGCTGATCAACCCTTCCAACCATCCCCAACTCCCAGAGCCGTCAAATGATAGAGGTACTAGACTTTCGCTGAGTGACAAAAGGTGTGATCCAGTCCCCTAGCATTGTACAAGTCATTCCGGCAGATTCTGCCTGCCAGAAGTCTAATGGGTTGTCCAATAGCAGGACAGACCTGATCTTTCCCTTCCCCTCCGAAACGTCTGGATGTATCGTAACTTCCACGCACGCCTAAATTCCCTCTCCTAGATGAAATAATATCGACTGACCTCCAACGAACAATGGTACACGGCAGGACCTCTAATGCTTGTGAAACAACTCAATGTCTGGTCGGCCGGGTACGCGTGTCAATCGGGGAGGGACCGCAGTAGTTACTCATCAAGCACGGGACAAGACGTGTCCATGGAGGGGGATGTTAATCAAAGGCCGCATCACGACGCACGTCAGGTCGAAAATACTTTAGCCTTTAGACGTCCACTGGTCTACCGGCTTGCTCCAGAACAACTAGCTTCACTCATAGAGGAAAGATCCAAGAGAATTCTGGGGCTGATAGGTTCATTCGTAGCGTTACTTGGAGCATTTCAACTTGCAATGAGATGAGATATCCAGCTCATAGCTGTAATGAGGCTGTTTATAAAGTGAGACACCGGGAGATTCCTAAGAGTCATGGAACTATTTCGCGGGGGCGTTCGGCCCTGGAATCAGGTCTGGGACAGAAAACCTATATGGCCCATACGAGTCAAACTTGTCACGTTCTAGACCCGGGATACCACCTAAGCGCCGATTCTGAACCGGCGCTAACCAAACTAATGGGACTCGGAGTTTCCCGAGCGGGGCGGCCCCGGACTTTCGACAGGTTGCTACCCCAGAGTCGTTTTTTCACAGGGTTTATATAAAGCAGGAAGATGTGGGAGATTAAATCAGGAAGAAGGTTCTTCTTTATCGAAGTTCATTTGCGCTCGCCCGGAGAATATGGTCAGTGACAGCTATAAGATGAAAGGCTTCTTGCTTAATAGAAGAGTGGAAGTTATGTTGCTGCACGGCGCCCAGTCGGGGACGTAGACGAAGTAAACTGCTTAGGCTAGTCTGGCAAATAACAGTCTACGAACATTGGAGCCTTACATTTGACGTCAAATTTAAATGATGGTAAGTCGCTCAAATTTCTATCGAACGGAAGGAAATCATCTGGGGTAGAGGGGCGCTCGGTCTGCTGGCCGCGGCTTTCTCGGCACGTCCATGCTGACGGAAGCAAATGGAAGTGCGTTGAACGGATTTGGAAATGTGGCGCACAGATGATCGGGGCTCGATCGGGCGGTCTGGTCATCCAAAACCAGCAGGCCTTGTGCATATTCGAGGTTGAAGGAGATCCTTGTCCTCACCTTTTTTTTGAGTGCTTGAAGCAAAGCAGTGTGCTTAAGCTCGCTATTTCTATTTTTACAACCCCTCGCAGAAATCCACCCGCCGATGACTGGCAGCACCGGTGCTTGTACGGCCGGTTTCCAGCCGTCAGTGCAGGTAACCGTGTGAATAGCGTTCGCATTACAAATATCCTAAGATAGTACCTACAAAGCGAAACCGGTCATGGTACAGATACAGCTGCGGAACGCAATCATAAGCAGGCATATCAGCATCCGGGCAATGGTAGTGTATAGAATCATAGCAGCCATCCTTCCATGAAATCAAAAATATCATGTCCACACCCACACTCGTGCAGAGCACCACTACCGCCGGATGATATACGAAATCTGCGTGGGCGGCTGACCCCTGGTGGTCTCCTCATACGACGGTGGCGACGGCTCCGCTCTGCTACCGTCCCACTGACTGAACGTGCTCTCCGGGTCCGTCTGTCGCCCAGTAGCATCCACAGTCTCGCCTGAACGCCCATCCCAGCCCGTCGTGGCCGTTGTCGGCGGTGTTGAGCCTGTGTTAGTGTACATACCGCCTGTGTGCGTGCTTGGGAGCGCCGGTGAGCCCATCGCATCCGGGTGGTCCCTTGCTGGCATGTACACCCCGTACTGTGCGGCACTCATGCTTTGCCGTCGTTCTATGCCGTCGTCGTGGTACGAGGAGGATGTGCCGGGTGGACTGGTTTGCTGGGCGAGTGGGATGGCGGTCACTTCAGCGCGCCGGTGGACGAACGGGTCTACTGGGATGGTAGGGGTGTGAGATGTAATAGAGGAGGAAGGGTAGGGTGGCTTACGCGGCTGATACTTCGCGATGCTTGAGCGCTTCGTCTTTCGTCTGCGCCGGAAGAGGAACGCCAGCCCGATCATCATCAGAAGAATAATGATCCCGGCGACGGCTCCGCCGACGATTGCTGCTGTCGAAGTCTTAGATGTCGACGATTGTCCACCGGTATTATTGTTCGAGTCGCCGCCATCTTGAGAGAGATTGGGCATGTCCGCTAGCGTTGTAAATGTGGGCGTGTAGGTGATGTAGTCGAAGGAGAATGTCTGGTTGATGCACTGCGTGATGTTGACAACGAGTGTGTGGTCGGTGGACTCGAGGAAGTCGTATGAATGGAATAGGAAGTTTTGCTGTTGGCCAATCTCAGAGACAAATTGGGGCGTGTCGGAACTAACACGAAAGTCTTTAGACAGTGGTGCACCGTCGAGCGTGAAAGTAAGGGATAGCAGACCAAGATTGGCCCACGTGAAGATCCCGTAGACCGCCGCGGACTTGCCTGGATGAATATGAACGCTGCACAGTTAAGAGGAAGACCATAGGCGACTCACCAGTAAATCGATATGTGAAACCGCTGCCGACAGACCATGTGTCGTGCGTTGAGTTGTGGAAGGCAAAACCGTCTGCATTTGGCCCCGAATTAAATCCTGCCAAATTCCGCTGCCATGTCCCGTTGAAGGTGAACCCAGAATCATCGTTGTCTGCTATAACAGGCTGGCCAACGAGAGGGGTATCCGGTCCGACATTGACGACTGCGAAGTCGAAGGAAGTGCCCGCTAGATTGGACAGAGTGACAGTATGGGCACCGTCCGACAATTGTGGAGATTGGTACCATTGTCGGTATGTTTGAGGGTTGGGGTCGGAGTAGCTGGAGTTGTAGGGAGCATTGTCGTCAATGGCAATCGTCAGGTTCTGTGAAAGGTTGGCAGGAGGTGTGACACCGAAGAAGGCGATCGACGTTCCTTTACGAGAACGTCTAGCACTGCCGTAGTCGGTTAGATAAGTCAGGAGGACGTACCCTGGAACTTTGCTTGCAACGTGCCCATAAGACCCCTCCCATTCAGAGCAAACGCTGGCGCCTGGACGGTCCCGTTTAACCACTGGTCTGCGGTGTTCGCTGACCATGGATTGGGCCCTAGCGTAATTGCATCGACCCGTTTGTCGTCGAGGATGATAGAGAGTTTGCTGGAGGTCGAGCTTCCGGACATGGTTTTGAGGAGGGAGGAGGGGGATGGAGGCTAAGATGGAAGTGGAGAGTGTAACATGCGATGGTCAGCGCTGGGGCTGAGTCGGCACCCACATTGGGAGTGACTTCCCCGAACAGGGCTGATTGTGAGCGGCTGTGCCGGTGTTAGGATGATCGCCTACAGTACCATGATTTATGTGAAGTCTGACAGAAAACGTGAAACTAGAAAAACAAATAAAGGAAAGAAGGGCCATGGAACATACGAGGACTTGCAACCCGGAAATGAAGTGAATACCCTCGAGTCGCGAACGCCCATTGACTCACTTGACATATCCGATGAAGTTAGAATCCAGTTGAACAGTTCGGTTGGCATCACAGCATTATTGTCTCGGTACCGGGTATTGTTGAAGAATCAGATGATGTATTCGAGGACATTGAGTGGGGAGATGAAAGAGAATTCTAATTTGTAGAGGAGACAGTTGTGCGACTGTTGTCAGGGTCAAACCGACGGGCCAATATACCCGTCGGCAATCTCCGTCCTGCCGAGCTTGCTAGTCGCCGGTGTTCTATCGATCTTGCAACCTCCTAATTCCCTCAGCTTCACTCTTCACTCTGGTGTAAGCAAATCTGAACATTCAAGAATCAAATCCTCTCCCGGAAAGCTGATCTGCACACTTACGGAAACTTTGTATAATGCCATTGCAAATTCGTCTCTTCAACTGGCTTGCCCAACGATGGCTATCTCTGGCAGGAGTTGCGCAGAATCTTACGCCTTGTGTTGACACTCGACGCAGTGGTAAGCCTCATCACCTGGGAAATGGCTCTCCCACTCAATCACTCGCATCTCTTGTGCCTCGAAAAGCAAAACACATTCTCTGATGTCTACAAGCATCTGGACTTCCCTTCCTTGTTCTTGATGTTTATCGAAGACACCCTTTGTCTACGAGGCTCAGGAAAGCGTCTACAAAATATCTTCCAGACTGTGGAGCCTTGTACGATCTGACTTTTCCCACGTCTATCAGGCTAAAAGTCGTGAGTGCTATGTTTTCCACCCCGCCCTGCGCGTGTCAGCCTCTCTAGCATATATCTGATACGAGCTCGTGCCGCCTTCTGAGTCCCTAACCAACGCTTTTGACGGCTAGCTGCCAATATCGCCATGCCTCTTTCTCCCTCATCTACGGCTGAACGCTCGCTAGACCTCTCGCCCTCTCAAGCGACTCTTAAGGCTTCGTTTTCATGCACGCCCATCGCCCCCAGCGTGTCTCGCTCTGCGTCGATCCGCTACGCAGGCACGGAGATTAGTAGGATGCGGTCGCCAGTTTTGCATGGCCCCGCACCCCCGCCTGTGCGGCGTGGTTCAATTAAGATGTCACATTCTACCTCCTTCGGAGCGTTTTTCATGTCCCGAACGAAGACCGCGACAAAGACCGAGGCGATCCCTGGAAGCCCTTCTATCAGCTGGCTGGACAAGGCGTTTCAATTCATACGTCCTTGGGAGGACCACGACGAGGTTGGAGCCCCGATTCCAGAGGAGCAGAAGCTTGTGTATCAGCAGACAGAAACTGTATGTCCGATTTCTCCACGTTGTCGAAGTGGTCATTGACGTCGACACGCTGTAGGCTGTTTATGAAACCCTTAAAAGGGTGGCGAAAGTGTCTGGCGAAATCGCCCTGGACGCACTCTTTGTCACGCTTATTGGCATGCAATTCGTCCCGATCCCTGCTCTGCAACGAATTTCGGAAGGCCTTGTATGCATTTGGAAACAAGTGAAGCATGTCTCGGTCTGTGCGATGTGTTTTCTTACTTTTCGTGACGTGCTCAGTCTTCTCCTTTTAGCTCAACCGCGTTGGCTTCCTTCGCCTCACGCAAACATGCACTCTCGTCTTGGATTCTATTCACCAGGAGGTAGAAGATGCTAGTCCTGAGGTGCTTGCTAAGCTTGCACACCCTCTCGCCACGCTTGAAGAGTGCGCCTTTCCTCCTCATTTGGTCTTACGATCTAGGCTTGTCTGATCTACTGCGTCTAGGTCCTTCGATGGATTTCTGTCGCTCGTTACTGCGCAGAATAAGATGCCTTTTCTCGCCCGCTATGTGCGGCGGGATGAGACCACGAAGGCCATTGCAGATTGCCACCAAGCTATATTAGGCGCTCTGGCCTTGTTCAACGCAAGTCTTCTTCAATGCTCTTGTCTATAAGCTCTAACGATGGCTCCAGAGCACCGTCCAACTCCGCATATACCAAGCTGTCTTTGAAACGAAACAAATGTGCTCCGAGAGCTTCAACGAACTCAAGATAATCCTCGAACACGGTGGTGTCAAGGGACGCCCCGAGACACCCCGCACCCCTACTGAGAGCCGTCGCCGTTCCGCTCCAGACGGCCTGCCTCCTTCCTCCTCTCACAAATCCCTGCGCGTCATAGCGTCCCCGAGCGTCGTCTCGCGATCCACCGACGACCTCCTTCCCACCCCCGAGGTCGTTCCGGTCCTCCAGAAACTCCAGACGACGCAAGGAGTCAACGATGCGAAGTCGGATATCCAGGACTTGCGCGCGATTATGCGTGCGATGCTGGAGGGAACGGACGACCAGGGTTTGTTAAGGCATCTGGGTATCACGCCCAGCGAGATTCCGGAGGCGATCAAGACTCTGCAGAGGTCGCTTGAGCAAGGCGCACAAGGTGAAGATGGCGCGTTCAAGGATACGCTACACCAGGAGTTCGTAGAGAGTGGTATCGAGGCCCTAAGGAGGATGAACACCGGCTTCGTGGTCGACTTGCCTCAGTGGACTATCACCAAGTACGGAGTTCTCCTTCTTCGGACTATATCCAGCTAACGATTGCATGCTGTTCAGATACGAGGTCGACATGAGGAAGAAGATCGGCGTTGGCCAGTTCTCCGACGTATTCCAAGGAACGTGGAACGGACGTATCGTCGCCATCAAGGTCCTCTCCCAAGTGACCCCCTCCGACCTCTTCGTCCGCGAGATCAAGGTGTGGAACTCGCTCAAGCACCCCAACATCCTCCGCTTGTACGGCGCGAGCAGCTCAACGGGCGAGCATCCTTGGTTCTTTGTCAGCCCGTACATGAAGCATGGCAACCTGGTGGAGTTCTTGAGGAAGATCTCGGCACGCGACACGGGGGAGCTGAATCAACTTGGTCCGATCGCAGAGAACTTACCGACATCGAGGAGCAGGAGCATGGGCAAGATGTTTTGCAAGTTGTTGAAGATTGGAGATACATACAGGATCCTTGGAGAGATTGCGAAGGGGATGGCGTATCTGCATGAGCAGAGTATCTTGCACGGCGATCTGAAGGTGGGTTGTCTGGCGACGCTTGGGCTTCAGGCAGGCAGGCTCACGCCTCTAAAATCGTTGCAGGCATCAAATATTCTCGTTGACGATAACTTCAAGTGCGTCATCTCCGACTTTGGCCAGAGCGAGATGAAGTCGGAGATTTGCAGGATCACCGGTCAGTCGATGCAGAGTAAGTTGTTTCTGATCTCTACATGAGCGAAATGTCCTCATTTTTCGACGCGCATACCAGATGGCACGCTTAGGTGGAAGGCACCTGAGCTCCTAGACGGAAGCTCGTATGTATTGACGTCGCCTATCGACATATTTGCATACGCCATCGTCTGCATCGAGGTGCTCACAATGGGCGAACTTCCTTGGGGACACATGATAACGGATGAGGAGGTTCGGCACAATGTCTTGGGCGAGTCCTTTAGTCTTCTCGTCCTTTGACATTCCGTCTAACCGGTTGCAGAGAATAAGCGCCCGTCGATCCCACCTGAGTTCACTTCGCCGCTTCTGCATGAGCTAATCGAGGCGTGTTGGCACCAGCATGCGGAGAAGCGCATGCCGTTCCGAGAGGCCGTCTCGCGTCTTGAGCGCCTGAAAGTCATCGCAGGTGATGGCAGTGACCCTTGTATCGATACAGACGGCGAGGAGTGGCCTTTGTCGCCTGCTCTTTCTTCAGGTTCATCATTCCCTCGGACAAACTGTAAGTTTACACCATATTAAATTTCAATAGGAGACTGAATGAAAAAATGCGGCCAGCTCCTACGTCCACCCCCTTCTTCGAGCAGAATCCATTTTTCGAGCCGCTCAGCGAGGAGTTCGTAGCCTTGCCGTCGCCCCAGGAGGTCGACGCTCTACGCATGGAGGACAATATACCCCGAAGTATTATGAGAATGCCCGAACCGATCCACTTCTCGGACGACTTGAAGGTTATATCGTCCAAGAAGAATGCGATTTATGAAGCAGAGTTTGAAGCATATTCCGACGAGACGCTTTCTCAGAGGACGCATAACGGGAGAGATTCGCCCATTCCAACGAACCCTCACTACGTGGAAGCGAGGAACGAGAGGCGGTATAGGTTCCTGCTGGATCACGAGTTTAATTCTTCGTGTAAGCGCCCTCTATACGCACCTTTGTCAGCCATTGACACATTCTAGTGACTCTCCCATTGTGGGATCCTTCTCCGGTTCAAATCGGGGATGTAGGATACCTGAAGAAACCAGCGGGGAGATTCATCACGCTTTTCAACGCCCTCAAGCCTCCGAAGACGCTCGACGCGTACAACGTACCTGTACGTTACATGTCCGAATTTGGTAATGTGGCGAAGGGAAGTCTACGGCTTGATCGGCGAAGCGCTGCACTCAAGGGGTTCAACGCATTTTCTGGTTTTCTGACTTTCAAGTCGAAGCCAGAAGGGCTCCCTACGTATGTCCTAGCACCGCCTGCTTTGTGGCGCATGGTTGACCCCGTCGTTTCTTTGTAGGCGCCGGCAATCTTTCCGACTGCGTTCTGGTCAGAAGTCTGCTCACATTTACACCGAGACCCCTGAGTACCTCTACATGAAGAAGCTTGATGCGCCAAAGGCCTGGTTCAAAGCACATTGTGAGACTATTCTGAACGTGTATGGAAAGGAGCACAATATCCAAAGGGAAGATATCTTTTTGGGTACGCCTCTCCTGCTCGCCTATGCTTTGTAATATTGAACAGTACTGCAGTTATCAGTCTACTCCGGGCGAGAGACTATGGCCTCCTGGTGAGCCACAGGCACCCCGACGGTCAGGTAAGTCCTCTCTACCCTAGGAATTTCTGGAGGCTCTCCTATCATCTCTTCCTTTAGGCACACTTCCACGTCTTTCCATCCGGACGTAGGGGTCGGCCTTGGGGAGAGTTCACCTCCGATACCTCAACACCTGGAGGGTGCAATGGACCATCATACGAAGAAGTCGACCGCATCGAACACGACTACGCAAGCAAAGTGTCTGTAGTCCACGACCCTCCGAAGGCCGTCCTTCTCGGAAAGCTGAGATTCAAGCCGGATAGCAGCGAACCTACGACTTCAAAGTGATTTTACCCTGTGCTACATAGACCCTGTCTATTTTGTGCCCACTTGACTACTCTTAACCATCAGATTAGCAACAGATTATTCTAGATCTTACTATACATAACTTGGATTCCACCGAGACGATGCGCGGTCTTCCACTAACGACACTACAAGGAGCATGCTGAGTTTGCACTTAATTAAGCTGGCTCAATGCAAGAACACTCGGAGACGACGGTCCGGTCGGGCACGTGTTTCAAAATTCTTCGAGTTGAAGCCACCAGCCAATGCCATTCCTTTGCCTCGAACAACCGGCAATGCACCCCCATCCTGTCTCCGCGCTCCCTTCCGCGTTACTCGACCTCACAATGTTGCGACTAGGCAGCAGTTCTCGGGTGACGGCAGCTGGACTTGCCCGTTGGCAAAGGTCATCGGGCTGCCGGAGGATGTACCAGGCCACGGCTCTGCAAACGTCACCACCTCCCAGTTTCGAGGAGTTTCTACATGGTGCATCGGCATTGCAAACCAGGTATTTTCTATCTCGTGTGACGTTCTACCCGAGTGCCGTAACAGATTTTGACTAGGTATCGAAAAGAGACTGGATCCTTAGCCGTGAAACCCCCCACGGGAAGCAAACTTTCCCTACACCCCGTGCAGGAACTGGAAAAGCGGGTGCAGGCGTTGGACGAGGCAATTGAAAGCGGGGTGAGTACTCAACGCGTCGGGATAGTTCTGAATGCTGAACAATCTGCAGCAAATGGAGTTTAGTCCTTCGTTCTACAGCGAGGAGGAGCTCCTGGCTTTGTATGAAGACGTTCTTTCCACGCCAATGTCCCCATCCCAAGAATCAGCCGACCAGACTGCCTTAGAAGCCGTTCGTCGAGCTGAGGAAGAAGAGGACCAGAGGATCATCGAAGCAGCAGAGACACGGCTACTTGACCCGTTCGACAAAGGACAACGCGAACCCGTGGTGTATCGGCGCATATTAAGTCGTGTGCACGAAATTCTTTCTCGCAAAGAAGCCATACAGAATCTACTCAAAGCCTCGTCAAGTACGGTTCCGCTGGGTGTACTCTCCATTCGTGAATGCGAGGCACTTGTCAGGACTAGCGTATGTTTTCTCCTTCCTCGCGTTTCCGATTCCTGACTTTGGCATGTAGGTGAAAGCGGGTGACGCCCAAGCCGCTGAAATTGCATTGAACATTATGAAGGTTGAACGCGTCTTATCACATCGAATTTATCTATTCTGATAAGACATCAGAGGGATAAACTAGCTCTACCAGAAAATTCTGTCACTGATGTACTCAAACTCTACTCAAAAAGCGGAAATGCGCAAGCTGCTGACAATCTTCTGGCCAACTTCTTGACAGGTGGGTAGCCCTGCTCATCTTGCGACTATCCATATACTCATCCCCCTCAGAGGCACCCACCGAGTTGCAACGTCACCTCCACGTTCAAGCACATCTGAAGTCGGAATCTATTGACGAACTTCCAACTTCTGCTTTGGATCTCCTCCACAACTATGAAGGCCAAAACGTCCCAGCTCCAATGCAAACCTACACGGCTGTCATCACCTCCCTTTTCTCCCGCCCCTCATCACTCGGCCGAGCCCACGCCTGGGATCTCTTCTCTCATATGCGATACGTCGCCCACCCGACCCCCGACGCCCTCCTCTACACCCTCATGATACGTGCCTGTGCGAACCCAATAACGACGCGCTACTCTTCCGAGCCCGAAAAGGCCCTCGACCTCTGGACCGAAATGACCGTCGACCAGAAGATCCAACCCACCGTCGGGTCATACAACGCCATCATCCTCGCGTGTGCACGTTCCGGCACAAAGACGTATGTAAACGAAGCATTCAGGCTCGCCCGGCAGATGCTGGACTCGCATAGAGACGCGAGGGGCTACTCGCCATTCAGGCCGGATAAGAAGACGTTTTGTGCACTGCTCGAGGGGGCAAAGAGGATCGGAGACTTGGGCCGGGCGAGGTGGATTCTAGCAGAGATGGTTAAAGGTGTCAGAGAGGACGACGTGAATGGGGTTGAGGCGGAGATCGATGAGGAGGTGATGATGCACGTGTTCCATGCGTATGCGGCGTACAAGCCACCCTTCTCGAGGGCTGCAACTGTTATCGTCAAGAATGCGCCACCCGGGTCGAGTTCGATACGAGGGACAAGGCCAGAGTCCGAGGAGATACAGATGTCGGTTCAGGTCGCTGACGGCGTGTCTGCATCGTCTAGTACGAGCCTCGCAGTTGAAGAAGACGATGACCGGCCATCGTTCGCGCACATCCCGCCACAGAGTCGTGCCGAAGTCATCCGCGAAGCGAAACTTCTCTTCAACCGCATCCTGCAAGATCAGAGTGACGCTGCATCTTCTGCTACTCTCTCTTTACCCTTCGCCGAGAAGAAATTCAAGAACGTCGAGCTTACCACCCGTCTGCTAACGTCGTACCTGTCCATCTTCTACCGTCATGCGTCCTTGGAAGCGTCGAGAGAGCTGTTTTGGACCCTTTTTGAAGAGGTCGGGGTGCAGAGGAGCGCAAGGACGTACGTGGAGGCGCTGGAACGATGTGGGAACGCGAGGAGGGGCCCGGAGCGGGAGTCTGTGACGGACTTTGCGGATGAGCTGTGGGCAAAGTGGAAAGAGGTAGAAGAGGCGGGGTACGGAAATGGGAAGCCCATTAATGCGAGGTTGGTAGAACGAGCGCATGTGGCAATGATTCGTGTGTTGTCAATGTATGTCTATTTTCCTCTTATCTTCCTGTTACATGCTGACCCTTCTCTTAGTACCGACAACCTCGATCGTGCGCTCACCCATCTTCGATCCTTCGCGGCTAAATATCCACCCACCACCATCCGCATGCCAAGTCCTAAATATGCGTTCCAGTCTACACGCACGTCGCTGCAAGCCGCTCGCCCTCTTGTACGCATGACCTCCGCGACGGAGGTGCCAGACGACCACGTCCCGCCTCTCATGACATTCCGCGACCTCGAGGTGCTGCACCATCGCCTGATCGACGAGGAAAGACCCCGCGATATCGGGTATGTGACGTGGTTGTGCAAGGCGTATCAGGGATCACTCAGGATGAGGAGGGATGGGAGTGTCAAGGCGAAGCCAGGTGCTGGTGGCGTGGAGGAAGGAGGACAGAAGGTTGTCGCGAAGATTCCAGGCTGTCCGTGAGGGCCTGCTGGGGTGTTAGGGTCAGGGCCAGGCTACGTACCACCACTCTATTTTATCCTATTGATCATTATTCTACCCATCTGAGAAGAACATCCTGCAAACCTACATGTAGACGAACCGCGCCAATATGCAGAATAGCATCGAAAGCATTTCACGAACTATGCTCCGGCCTCAAGATTCCCTTACTCAATTTTTATAGACCAGGTGCGCCACATGCCACACGCCACACGAGTTATCATCGTACCTGGTGGCCTTTTACAGCAACCATGACCGAAACAATCCACGATGTTAAGGCATACGCTGGGTCTGGCCCGAGTTGGACACAGTCCTTGGGGTAGCGAAGTCCCTCACGTCCCAACTCAACAATTTCTCAGCTACTGCAGGAGAGCATGCGACTGACGGTCTACCAATTCCCACCAAACGCGGTCAACCCTTCCGCGTGGCTTCTAAATCTGCACTAGCTTGGTCATGCGTAGGACAGGATTCAGTTATTAGGTGGAGCCGGTACTGACGACACTTCGCCAGATGGATTGATCCATCACCGCTATATCATCTCGTTGGGATGCCCTATGTGCAGGCGGTGCAGGCGGAACGACGCTCTGACTTTCTACGTCAAGGAAAGGGTTCATCGGAAAAACGACCCCTTTCATATCGAGCAAGTTAACAGACAAAGTCGAAACACCTGGAATTCAGCGAAGAAGCTCTAATGTCGCCAATACTGGCCTAGTTGGCTGCATTCTCCATCGAGAAAATGGGGTCGACTTCTATACCGGTGACAAAGACAGCCTGTGATGCAGACTTGTGAGTCCTTTCGCAAGAATTTCTCCACGGGTCAACGGCAAATATTCTTCCTTTCTCCGAGTCAATCATTATCTATGACTCGACGTTCATCAGAGTCGCCTCGAGGCTTCCCTGCTGCAGCCCCCGAACAGATTGATTATCGATTGAACAGCTAATTCCAAATTGACATGCGGTGTTAATCACGAGAGCAGGTCATGGTACGGGTTGTGGGCGTCGTTGGACAGGTTGAAGGCGTTATCCGCGGGTTGGAGGCGATGATGAACATATTCCTGGCGGCACATCACAAATACTTTGTCCACTGTCATCCTTTCTCATGGCCCATATGCATGTATTAATTCGTCCCAGCATTTTAAAGCCTTGGACATATTTTCTCAAGTAAGTTATAGTGAAAGATTAAATTGTGTATTGCATGGAGAACGATGCTTTTAAGAGGACCATCCGAGGTCATTTTCGAAGGCGTTTAAGCGCCTGAACCCGCGAATAAGTAAGTAGTAGCTCTTGATTACACACAGGCAACAAATTTAACCGGTGCGCCATAGATCACTTATTTGACAGCAAAAACGTGTTGCAGGAACGCGTTTCCCCGAGCCAGTGCAAAATGGTTCCAGCAGATCGAAAGACCTCCCTCAGAGATTGCCTCATGCCGGGGTGATGATGAATTCGCGCAAAGTTGCCTACCTAATATCATATGATCAACTTCTTTCAGCGCCCAGTGAGCGCCCACAAATGTGGGATATGCCACAGAAAGAGAATATAAATGGCGTAAAAGGGACGTACTGAAGTAGCCGCCGCGAGTGCGCTCAGTAGCCTCACCCTCCGACGCGAGACCTCTGTCGCTTGGGCCAATGGAAGACTCAAAGGTTCCGAGAGTCGGCACTCCTTCCTCTGTAGGTTCTATCTTGGTATTTATTATGGTCCTCACTGACTTTCGCATCCACGGGTACAGCAGGCGAACATATCTTCCTTTCTTACGACTACTATCCATGGTATTGCAAGCAGCAAAGATGGGTCAACCCCTATATCTGGCCAATTCACGCGTCGAAAGACCTTCCCTGCACCGATGCACAGCTCGTGTCTTCAGCTCGCTTACACTCCAGTAGAGCAGTGGAGACCGCTTCCTCTTCCAACTGACGGCCACCTCGAGCTCACCCTTTGCGACCGAATACACGGTGGCTCGTCTGGGACCACCTATTTCGCCGATGTCGTCTCCTCCACCGCTACTGGGATGCCTCAACGCGTGGTCGTGAAATTTGCTCGGCAGTGTAGGACCTTAGCGCGCGAGGCCTGGTTTTATGAGCAGCTGTCGAGGGAGTCCAATTGTGAAGGTGTTATCACACCAAGGTGCTACGGCTTCTTCATTGGATCGAGGAAAGATTGGGGCATTCCCCATGAAAGGGACCAATGTTCGGACTTTGTCTTTAAGCCGACTCACAATCCCCCGTCCTCCAAGTCGCCCCCACTATGGTACGACCTCGCCGACGATGAAATGTTTAATCCAGACTTTTGGCTTTATTTCTGTGATGATGCTGGCCTAAAGAGAGGCTCGGAGTGGGACACATTTGACGATGGCGACAATGATGGTGATATAGTCGCTATACTCATTCTTGAGGTACTTGGAGACTTCTACCCCGCTCCAATGATTGACGAAGAGGCGTTGAGGTATGTTGTTCCCCTCCTTAGGAATAAGACCGTATTTGAGGCGGAATATTCCACAGCGACATCAGAGGAATAGTAATCGACCTAGCTCACACAGGCATTCGACATTACGATATTCGACACGCGAATATTGTACGTCGGCTGGAGTCCTCTGACAAAGAAACATCGTTCTGCTATCGACATCAAAAAATTCACGACTGGCGCATAATCGACTTTGATCGTGCAACGAGGACGCTATTTACCAAAAAAATTCCCCGTGATATTCAGGCCTGCCTAGATCAAGTGAACTTAGTTGGAAACGAGTACTTTATGGGCACTTTGAAACCGTGGGTCTATGATGTCCAGTACTGATCTTCCTCGCCGTACGCCGCGTTTATTGGTGAAAATTTATCAGTGAAAGGGACGGCACACTTAAACATGACAAATTTCGATCATACTTTGTGAATATCCAACATGATACTACTAATCTATGTAGAATATTCGATCTGCACATTTAACCGGCAATTAGATAGTTCCTTCAGCACTCGGGAGGCTGGCGTCCCGGTGGGCCGCTTATCATGATGATCAGATGATCGCACCTTCCCAAAGCGGACTAGAATAAGCGCCCGTGCCTTCCTCTCTTGATCATCGATTATCCTGATCTTCGGAAAGTTTTTTTTTGTTCTGATCCTCGATAGCCACATTCAGCAGAGATGTTTTCCCGAGAATACAGGGTCAGACTAGTGAGCGCTACTTGGGGACGAGAAACCAGTGACCCCAACGGGGCAGTGTGTTGCAATCTACCCTTACTATATATTCCTTCGGACATACTCGCACCCACGAAATATATCGTTGGCATTGTTGTGGATGCACCAACAAGTTTGTGATGGATGAGTGCTTGTGTTAGTTGGGGGTTTCAGTTATTCGAAGTGGTGAAAAGCAACCAAGAAAAGGAATACTCGAAGGAGAGATGCTAGTGTCGACTTCCGTCATGAATAACCCGGATGAGGGAATAAGGAAGAGAGAAAAGGACGGGAAATAATGCGCGGAGGATCAATATAGATGGCCCACATGCAGATTATGCTACTTAGTGGTACAGATATTGACTTGTCGATGCCTGCTTGGTTGAGGAGGCAGACATACTGATGAGGAGCACCGCCCAACCTCTGCAAGGAGGAGAAAGAGAGGAGAGGATTGGAAAATAAAAGCAAATAAAACACATCAAAAAAGCGCCAAGAACACAAAAACAGGAACGAACTCGAAAACAAAGAAAACACAGAAAAAATCACCACCCCGTATGGTGATAATCGTCCACCCAACTCCGATTCTTTGCCATCGCCTGCTTCTTCAACATCTCTCCTCCTCCTCATCTCCCTGCCTCCTCACTGTTGCGTCCTCATCCGGTGCAGGGGGCAACATTTCCTTCACATGTAACTGCACCACGCTCGGTGCCGTCCCCAATTCCTGCCCTTGCCCAGTTGCAGTGGTCTGCGGCTGCAGCTCACCGAACACATTCTTCCCCCTCTTCACCGCAGCGATATTCTTAGACCAACTGGGATGGGGACGGGGTGTCGAGGAGGGAGGGGCAGTTGGTCGGAGTGGGCATGGGTGAGGTGCAGCCCGCTAACGTTGAACCACCGTCTGTTGTGTGTTGGTACGTTGCCCACGGAAGCGTTTCCATGGTATTAGAATCGGCTTGTAGTTGTGCCTTGCCCTGTGGCTGTGTCCTCTCATGCTGTTGCTGCTGCAAGGTAGCTCGACCCTCGCCCACTGCAGCACCTCATCGTCATCCCCTCGCCCTTTCCCCCTCAGCGGCTCCGTATGCACGGTCCCCCTCTTCTCCGTGAGCGTCTTGAGCTTCTCTGCCACCACGCTCTCCGACACCCGTAACCCCCCAGCCCGCCTCTCGTCGCTCTCCGTATCCTCGAGCTCCTGGTCCGTTGGCTGCCCACGTGGTCTGTACCTGCCCCTCCACCCACTACCGTGTTGCTGCTGGGGTTGGTCGATCATCTGGGGGCTGGTCGCCAGCCATGCAGGTGGCTTCAGCTCGGGATTGCCATTGGGATTCGCTGTAGCGGCGGTATTGAGGTTAAGATTGAGGTCGACACCGACGTTGAAGTTGGGCACTGGGCTGGATAGCTGGAGGTTGCTGCTGAGCTTCTCGCTGAGTCGGAGGAGGAGGAGGAGTGAGAGGAGTAACAGCTCCGTTCATCTGCCTTTGCTGCTGGATCTGCGCTGGCAGAGCCAGCACCATCGCGGCCGGCGCTCCATCAGATCCTCTCCCTACCTCTCCTAGCCTTCCTTGCTCTTGCCCTCCTACCCCTCCTTGCTCATGGCCTCCTTCCTCTCCTTGCTCATAGCCTCCTGCCCCTCCTTGCTCATGCCCACCCATCCATCCTGCAACCCCAATTGCCCCCGACCTCGCCCCCTTCCGATACGGATGTCCCATGGGCAACGCCAGAGGTCGGCTCATCATCTGTGTCAACAGGCTGACACTCCTCGTCTGCGCTTTCGCCAGGTCCTGGAGGGCCGACGTTGGGAGCTTCTCATCCTCGCGCCGCTCTTGATGGGCGCCGGGCTGTCTAGTGGCGAGCAGGAGTTGCTACAGGTGCTGGTGGTGCAGTTGCTCCTGCTTTTTTTGATGAAGAAAAAAAATAGAAAAAAGAAGTCAATATAAAAATATATGTGTCAGATTTTTCTTTTCTCGTCTTCCATAAAAATGAGATAAGAGAGCGGATACGCACCACAACAACCTCCTCCCTACTCATATCCTCACTCGACCAACTCCCATCATGGTTTGTATCCGTCTCTAACTCGGACTCGGTCTGCAGCACCACCCGCAGCTTCTTACGTGGTAAGAGAGGGTCAGCAAGCGATTTCTCGATCTTGGCTGCGAGCTCCTCGTCGAAGGACTTTGCCACCTCGCCACCACCACCGCTGACATCATCGATCTTATTTGCCTTCGCATTGGCGTTGGTGTTGGAAACCGACTTAGAGTTGGGACTGGAGTTGGCGTTAGAGCTAGGCTTTGCAGCAACCTTTGACGACCCAGTGACAGAAGACATGACATCACGCTCGCGCTCCTTCGCCTGCTGGTGGAGTTGGAGCAACTGCAACTGCCTCTGTACCTCTGCCATCCGCTCCGCCTCTCCCCCACCCGCGGGCTGGTACGTCGACTGTTGCCTGCTCGGCGGCTTGGAGGTATTGAAGGTGTTTCCTCGGGGGTATTGCTGCTGAATCGTTGGCGTTGTCGGGTACTGTTGGGCGCTCGCACCAGAGGTCTGCACCAGCTCCCGCTGCATCACTGCGAGCCGGTGTAGCCGTTTTGGAGAACTACCTTCGAACTCCGGAAATTCTCCTGCTACGGTCGAACGGTCCCCAACGCTGTGTATTCGAGAGGCGGTTGATAATCTTGTTGGGAAGAATTGTGGGGAAACAGATCCATAGCCACTGACATGAGGTCGGGCAGCAGAGAAAGGAGAGGCTGGGGCATATAGAATGATGTTGGGATTTGTAGAGTTGAACTCTGAACCAGAGATTACAGGAACGGGATTGACAGGGTCTGAAGTGCATCTTGACCGTCGCCGCCGTCGTTTTGGAGTCGGAGAAAGAGCGCTTCTATCCTCTGCCCCGCTGGTAGCCTCAACATCTCCCTCTTTCAGCCGGGTGCCTAGCCTGTTTAGCAAGTTCTGCCGTGCTGCAATACGCTCCCCTCCTGACACGGTGTTATTCCGAGAGAGCTTTGCGTGGGACGGCGGTGTAGGGGAAAGCGATGAATCATATGTCTCTGTGCTGCCCGTTAGTTTATGCATTGCCAATCGTCGACCTGCCGCAGAGGAACCTGTGCTGTTCGAGCGCATCAAACTAAAATTCCGCAAATCTTCTGAAGTTGGCAGCGGGGTTGGAGGAGAAGTGCCTGAATAAAATAAGGACATGTCTCGCGAAATAGAAGTCGGTGGTGGGGGGAAGTAAGGTTGCTGAAAGAAAGGGAAATGGGGCATCGGAGATGCTAGAGGAGGTACCATCCGGAGCATGATTGGTGACGGAATATAGGAGTTCTCATCTTGCGACGAGTCGCCGTCCAATTGGAGGATGGGAGACTGTGTTGCTCTCGCTTTGCCTTTGAAATATTTCGAGGTCCTGGGCCTTGAACGAGAGCGCGAGCGCCGCTTTTTTGTGATAGAAGGATCACCACCGGCCGATACCGACACCGACTCCGATCTGCTGCTCGCGCTCCTGCCGATATTGAACGGGCTACCGCCTAATGAGGGTGTTCGATGCAGTATTTGGGACGGCGTTATGTCTACTAAAGTACTGAGGGCAGTGGTTGCGGTTGGAGGTGCTGGTATAGTTGGCGGCGGCAGCTTCACAACATCCAACGACGAAGCCATTGTTGGTGTCGTCGATGAAACAGTTGACATCGCACCAGCGGCTTTGGCCATCGTCAATGTGACAGGTGCATCCGTACATGTCTCAAATGCACTCGCCCCACCAATGACATTTGCTTGGTGAAGCTTTGATGGTGCTTGAGAAGACAACTCGGAGTTCACCTTGTGCTGTTCGAGGAAGACGACACCTGAGAAAAATATAGTTTCAGTTCCACCAGGAAAAACTTTATCTCGCCTGCGCATACGTACCGTTGTCTACCAGGATCTGATGATTTGCCAGAATTCGTTTGAAGAGTTCATCGTCGTCCAGAATGATACCATGGTTCTATACAAAAATGGGGTCAGTGTACAGATATACAAGGAGATCGATGTATGCCATAAACCTCATCGAAGATGGAAAACCAATCCGAGTCTTTAGTGATCACTATTTCTGCGTTGGACACCTATAGAAGGATGGATATTGGGTGTCTGTACATTGGCTTTGGCCGTACCTTTTCGAACAGTGCCTTGTTAATGGATAGAGAGGGGTGAAAAGACTGGAAGAGAGGGGGTACTCGTAAACCTGGTTGCGAGTCATTAACATGGATTTGAAGACCTACCATCGTGGTCGGAGGATCGAACATAGGTTGGCTAGGGTGAAGTGTTCTTCGCGACGAGGAACGGCGTCCACTGTCAGATCGTCGATGAGAAAAGCGGCCGTTTCCCGATGCTCTATTCGACCTAGAGGACGATGTAGATTGGGTATAAGATGTGGGTGTTCGATGACAGGAGTCCACAAGGTGAGGCGTGTCGAGCTGTTGACATAGTTTGAGCCACTGCTCTTCCCCAAGCATGGGGTTAATCGTCCGCAAAAAGAGGCAATTATTCTTGTATTTGCCGACTTCCGGGGCTAATGGATCCTGGTCTCTCATTTCTTCGATCTCCTGTGGATCAGGACCTGCCCTCACTTCTGCTAGACCAGAATGTTCCCACACGTACGTCGAGATTGGTGCATCCGAAATCTGAAGGGGCTTGAGCTTGAGCTGGTGGCTTATTTCCTGGGTCATGTTGGTCATCGTCACAGTCGCCATGCCATACGAGGTGGTCTTGTCACAACCGATGACTATGCGAATGTCGCCATTTTTTGCGTCGCGACCGAGAGGACCGTTGACGTAGTGATACCAATTAACCAGGTGGGCCGCAACGTATTTCCTGATCTGCCCAATGTTTTCGACATTTATCGACGTGGCACCTTCTGGCATAGCTAGTACGGCACCTTCAGAGGCTGACGTTTTGAATGCCAATCCTCTACAGGTCAAGATGTTGAATATGATGGTGGTCAAGAAATGATAAGAGCATGATGACACATACGGTGATGAGTCGCACTCTGATTTCTCAATTGTTGAACTCGCAAGGTAGCTTCCAGGTCCGAATTCAGAGAAGATACAGATATCGATCTCTCGACGCAACGGAGCGGTTGGAATAAATCCTGCCGGTAATCGAGAAATATGGATGGGGTCCTCCATGGCGGTAAATATATTGAAGAGAAAGGAGAAGCTCCCGGAAGACGTGATGATGCCTACATCACCAATCTTGACACCCGTTCGCCGGTAGGCAGTAGGTAAGTTGCGATGAGGCTCTGGAATCCATAACGGAAATCCTCGATGCTTTGGTATGAGTAGTCGAGCATAAATCTCGCAGCTCCTTTGAGGTTCCTGTAGTGATACTGCATTAGGGGTGAGGGCCTCTGCTTCCTCATCGACGAACGGGCTTGGCCGTCTATCCCACCCGGTCAATCGGTCCCTGGTATGCGAGGCGGGGTCCTGGCCGTCGGAGACATATCCAGCTTCCCCGTCTGAGAGAAAAATAAGTCGAAGAAATTGAATGCTCTGGAAGGAACTCACGGTTCACGTTGATTGTCAGGTTCGTGTGATGACCCCGGGTGGCATGAAAGTTGCTTCTGCTAACTTCAACGTTCCGGGATGACTGGAAAAAACTCTGTCCAGACGAATGCGATGCACTGAAATTCGTCGGCTCTAAATCAACTCCTTGCGACGATTTCAACCAAGGTGTAATACGCACCGAGAACTGGGAGGCTGATAACTTTGGTCTGCCCCGGCTGTTTGTTGACTGGCGGACAGTGGGATAGCAGCCCTTCGCTGAGATGAGGGTGGCGACTGCAGCCGATCCGTCGAAGGGTATGCCCGGTGCTAGACATACTTGAGAACTAGCCTCTAGGTGGCTTCTTTCAAAGAAAAGACCCACAGGTTGGTAATCTTGTTGCCGCCTGCTCATGTTCATATGGGGTGGGCGGTGGGAGGAGTTCAAGAACGATTGTATATCGCTATAATATAGGCTGCCCGCAGTGTTGTTAGGACGACTACCGTCCGTCTATGGCCATCTGTGTACTGCAACATGGATCATTGGCAGTGCCAGGGGGCAGTGCTTGGTGGGATAAGTGCGTGTTAGGTCCGTTAAAGTACATCTGAGAATACATCCCTTCTTTCATTAGTTTTTCTCTCAGAGTGCGGATAAAAGAGTTTGAGTGTGTATCCGCCATTCTGAAGAGTTTGCAAAGTCTCAAGTCGCCAATGCAAGGAGGACAAGGGGATTAATAGAAGGTGAAGTTGAACATTAAGTGGTCACGCCAGTGCAATCATAATATGGTGTAACGGTCGCCAGTCACCCGACTCCAAACTTTGAAGCTGAAGGGCAACCGGGGAGTCCCACTGTTAAGTCGTCAAAGCTGCAGTTCGAGCGCGGCGCCCACTACGTAGGTACTCCTTGACTGGGTTATCTGAATGGAGGATAAGCAGTGGGGTCATCAGACATCAAGGCGGCTTTCAACCTTATGCAGCTAGAAGTCTGACCCAAGGACGAGATGCCAACTTGAAATGTCTAATGTCGAGATTGAAATTTCAAAACTCGTACTAGCTAACCATCGGTACACAACTAGCCACGAGAAATCCAAAATACGATCGTCCTGTGACCATCGAGAAACATTCAGATTTTTTGCCATCGATATTAGGAGGTTCGCCGAGGCGGCCCTTCATCGATTTAGATCCGACGAGTTGCGGCCAACCACTACGAAGATGGGGCAGAGCAGTTTGGTGACGCATTTTTTTTTGCGGTAGATTGAAGCCATAGGGGGTACAGCGCTTGGTAGCGACAAGGTGGTAAAGACTTTCCGTGTTATTTGAGGAAACCTGGAGAGAAGATTTGAAAGTTTAAACGAGTCGGGGGAGAACTGGAAAGAAAAGCGCCCTGCACACGCAAGGAAAGTCTCGGCCCACCCCTTTTCTGTACTAGCTCTCTTGCCTCACGCTCCCAATCTTTGCCCACATCCCTACCGGCCCTTTCCTCTCCACCACGGACGCACCACTCAAGCTCCTGCTCCAGCTTGCAAACCCACCATCACTCATCGCCAGCTCCGCCGCCCTCTGCCACTGCAACCACGGCTCTTGGCCCTCTACGATCCTTGCCCGTGCGAGAGTGAACAGCCACTTCTCCAGGGCGTCCAGGTATCGGTGGGTGTAAATGGCCGCTGCACATACAATCCAGTCCCAAAGCGTGTCGGAATCAAGGAAGTGTGTCGTTGGTATGGACGAAGCGAGTGTCCGCGGAAGGTTTTGACAACGCGTGCGCTGAAGCCATACTGGGTAGCTCGGTCGGGGCTTCGGCGAGAGTCTCGGGGAGGAGGGCGACGAGGGTAGCGAGATCTTCGTCGTTGTAGAGAACACAGAGAGGAAGAGGCTGCGCGAGGAGACGTGGAAGATGTCTTCGGAGTCGCTTCCAAGGAGCAAGGCGTGCTTGGCGGAAGGAGTGAGGAAGAAGATGGTGAAAATTTGGGAAGAGAGGTAGGAGATTGTCAGACATGAGCGAGGGGGTGCAGAGGGCGAAAATGTTCGCTGAGGAATCGAAGGGTCGGCTGCGATGAATATGACTTTGATTCCAGTTTCGTTGACGCGGCGGCCGAGGAAGCCCTCTACCCGACGTCTCGCGAAATACTCCAGCGTCCCTTCCTTCAGCCATTTCACGCCACCTGCGAGACTAGGAGACGAGGTGTCGGAAATTCCGGCATCCCAGTCTTTGGTGGCAGGTCTAGGGGGTGGTCTAAGGAATACATCTAGTTTCTTGGTGTAGTGGAGGACCCAAGCAACGTATAAAATGCGCGGTAATGTCAAAAGAAGTGAAAAGGGGGCTTGGATCACAGCGAAGAGGAGGGAGGATGCTGTTAGAGGAGTTGCGGAAGTAGGCCGGAGGAGAGCTGTCAGCTTCAACTGTCCCTTCGTGCTGTCCTCGCCCGCTGTGTATAAGTGAACCCGTACGGCTGGCCTCGGTGCAGGGGCAGATATGAAATGCGTTGATGTAGGTGGGTGTGTAGGGTTGTTCACCGACACTTCGTAGAAGCCGGAACGATCGTTGAAGGGCGAGACGTGGAACTCGCGGCAAAATGTCCATTGGTGGTCATATCTAAGAAGAGTGAGACTTGGAAGCAATTTGGGGTATTTAAAGAAACGAACCCAGTCGCAGGAATCTCGTCCTCGTTTGTACCGACTTGCAGGACATGGACGTGGCTTTCTCCAAATGTGTTATGAATCTATTGCAGAAGTCAACGTACAAGAAAGAAGATCATGACGACATCCACGAACCTCTAGAACAACTAAACAAAACTCCTCCTTCTCGTCGTAACAGAAATAAACAGTCAAGGGATTGATGCCCTCGAAACCCATGAAAGCCGGCATAGTCATCATCCAGGTATCAGTAAAGACGTTGGCTAAGCCCCTCTCTCCCAGCAGCATCTCCAATTTATTCCGGATGGTCCCTGGTTGGGTCGTCAGGTATGGCTTAGATCGAAGTCCCACAATCCTTCCCCATATTCCACCATATCCAAAAATCCATCCTCCTCCAAGATCGAGACGGTGCTCCTCTAAAGCATTCAACGACATAAGAAGACAAAGCGTCGAATAGGTGAAAGCATGGACGGATTCCACAGGAAGTAGTCGGGCGTGTGTAACCTGATTTCGAAGAATATATGCTCGAGAGAGCGGTCCGGTTGAGTCGTGAGGCCTGCCAGCAGGACTCCTCGCACGCAAAAACGCAGATAAAGAAACACAGAGGACTGTTACGCAGACATCGACGACCAGCTGCGAGGGCATGACGGGGTTGGCAGAGACATGGCGGTGGGAAAGGGCAACTGTGCTGCTGGTACATTTTGGGTATTTGTTTGGCTGTCGCATCCATGCCAAGCAAGAATGCGGCCACGTGACTATGTTTGCTCATCGCGCTGTAACCGTGGCTTGGCCACTTCGTCTCGCCGTCGACTCTGCAGCAGCCGTTGGTCTGCAGAATGAACATCAGAGAACCTCCTAAGCCTGCGGCTATACTTGCGACACCGCTTAATGTGGAGGAGAGCAGGGCTCAGAGGTTGCAGCGTTCACAGGCGCGGTTTCGGGACAGAGGCGGGTGAGTGAACTTTCGGCGTATGCTGCGGCTATATCGAGCCAGCTGAACTGACTCTTTACAATAGCATATTTGTGCCTAGCAGCCGCAGTAAGCTTGCGGACATCCTCCTGGGCAAGGCGTCCCCCTTGAAGAAACCTCGTCGTAGCGTTTCCGCCTCTCCGACACCACACCCCCGAATATTAACTCATGGAGCTGCCGAAGGCGTAAAGCGTGGATTGAGCAATGCCACTAGACAAAGTCCGCGTAAAAAACCCCGGAAGTCGACTCATGCAGGGCGGGACGTTGATGGCGAGGACCGGGATGATGGTGCGTCGAACAAGTTTCCAAGTTTCGCATCTGTTCTAAATTGTAACTACATTAGACGGCGGCCCTTCAGGACTTACTTCGGCCAAAGTGCCAAAAGGTATTGCATTTTCACTGCAGCCCGGAGACCAACTCTGACCGGCATCGTTGTAGCGGCATCCAAAGGCAAGGGGAAGTCAAAGAAAAAGCTGCCCATTACACACACTGGAGAAGAAGATGTGCAGTCGGGTAAAACCGTTGTACCTCCTAAGAAGTCGTCTAAAGCTGCTCCGAAGAAGACTGCCAAGAAGAACGCTTCCACATCTTCAAAACCTCCCTCGAAGGGGTCGAAGCCTTCGAGGAAACCCAAGGACACTGGCTCGAGAGGTGATGGAGAGGACCGGCCAAAATCGAAGGCGAAGAGGTCCACCGCCGAATCCAAGGCTATAGTCGCAGCGCATCCACGTACGCACCAGGCTCCTATACTACGCCCGAGTCCCTTTCTAATGCTTGAACTCCAAGCTGTTTTCATATCGACAGTTACAACACAAACTATCTCCAAGACTAAACCCATTTCAACATCCGGCACTACGTTATCAGCCAACAAGCCCCTGTTCTCGCGACGTCGCAAATCCTCACAGGTCGACTCAGATTCCTCTGAGGACGAGTATGTTCCAAGCAAAGGAACGCAGAAGGATGTCGAGGAACTGCACCAGGCGCGAGCGGCTAAAGCGGCTGCACGAGCAAAAGCGAAAGCTAAGGCGCAGGCTTCGGGCAAATCAGCCAGCACCTCTGCACCATCCTCGAGCAAGAGCAGCGCACCGCCCTCGAAGCCGCCTGTAAAGGCGCCACCAGAGAAGAGTCGCCCTGGTGCACCCCAGCTTTCTGCCATCATCGAAGAGGACGAGGAGGACGAGGTTCCACCCGTCCCTCCGTCGAAATCGTCATCCGCGAAAGGGAAGGAGAAGGAAAGAGAGAAAGAAAAGGCTTCGGCCTCCAGAGTCACGTCGTCCAGCTCAAGCTCAAGCAAGAAACGGCACGCGGACGAGGCCGATCTCGACGTCGAACCCTCTTCGAAGTCCAAGCGGTCCAAGTCTACCAACTCTAAGGAATCTACCAAGGTATCGAAGAAACGGCCTCGCCCTACAGAGCCAGATGAAGACAATGCTGACGACGGGACCGACGCCTCTGGGAAGACTAAGAAACCTGCGAAGCGGAAGAAGGCGAGCAAGGGCGAGGATGAGGAAGTGGACGAAGAAAGACAACCCATGAGGAAACTCCCTGCTTCCTCGAAAACCAAGTCGTCGACGGAGGGTAAGGGCAAAGGAAAGGGCAAGCCACGGTCGGCTTCCCAGCGGCCTACGAAGACCGCGTACGTTCTTTTCCTCTCCAACGGTGAATTATATGTGATGCTAACTCGATTTGCTGTAGGAAACGCAAAGAGAATTCGGTCGGCCCGCCATCCGCTGTCCCTCCTGCCCCAGCACCCAAAGTTGCCTCCCAACGAGGTCCACCCAAGAGCGTACTCCTCCGGATCCAGCAAAACGCCAAGCTGGAGGACGTCGACAACGACCCAGATCCTATTGATTTCCTTTCATGAACTTCTCCTGGGCATTTGGTTTGTATGCTTCGATTTTCTTTTATTACTACCAAGGCTATGTTTCTACTCTCCCTACCATCGCGTCTCATGGACTCTTCGATTTTTTTTTTTTTTGCAAATATGTTATTTGTTATGTGTTTTCTTCTCCTGCATTTCCATTCATGTTTTCATCATCATCTACGCATACCTAAGTACCATGCATTACACTACTCTGTATTCTCTCCCGACATGTTTTTCATTCGCACATTTGTTAAACTTCACTCCGAATCTCAATCTAGCATTTCCAAATAAATGGTGACCAATTCATGTATCCAGACGGAAGTGCTGGAAGCTTTTACGAGATCTCGCAAGGTTCCTCTTTCAGGTCCCATCGCAATCAAGGTATATTGCGCCACAAATTCCATTTTCATGCACGCTTCGACTCAAATTTCATAGCACTGAATAGTGAACCTCAGAACAGACAGCTAGGATCACCAAACCTCATCTCTTTTCAGGTTGGGTCAGAGATAAAGTTGCCTGCTTACGTTTACCCATATGCGATTTGAGAACAACAGCCTCTGAGCCGAAAGTACTATTCTGAGTAGTCACAAGAGGGCTGTGCACCGTTTCTCGCACTCGGTGTATCCGAGAATACGTCAAAATATGAGGAAATTTTCCCTTGCCCACAGATGAATAGTATCTATCAAGTGGAGCATCGCAGGAATCAGGCTTCTCCCTTCTTTCTACTGGCAACAGGTCCTCACGAGACGGAATCTGGTGCCCGCAGTGCGATATTGAATACATGTACGAGTATTCATGGGCCCTTCCAGCGTCGAACTAGATCTTCGTAGAATGTAACTCCATATATAATAAGGGCAGTAAAGATTCTCCTTCCTTGACTTGTTCGACCTTGTTCTTGTTATATAAAACGTAACGGCTGGAGTGCTGGGCCTTTGACGGGCTTTATTCAGTGTATACAGATTAGATTGGATTCATGAAACTCATGGATGATTTGAAGATGGTCGTCAGCGGCGGTGATTAAATAGTTTCGGCCATATATTAGGGCACGAGATCAACGGCCTGTTGGCCTGCCCCCCTCTCTGCACGCGCATTCACAGACCCTGAAGAATAGCACTCACCTTCCGACCAAGTGCATTAACGGTTTGCTCTATAGCGAGAAATGGGCCGGTTTGCAGATCCCTACGGGGTACGTTCCTTCTACTTTCTGCTTGAAGCCAATCGGCTGAGCGGGCGGGACGAATGGGACAATAACAGGACGACAATCGCCTTCCTGAGGGCATGAAGCTCACAGGCTATGATGCGGACGAGGGGCGACGATACTATGTCGACACCAAGGACGGCTCGACTTGGGTGGGCGCTCCATACGTTGAATATGGGATCTTGAAACCTCTGAGAAGCAGAACGACAGCTCGACAGAATGACGGTGCGTGTAGTGAGGTTCCAGCCAAGGTTGGGGGCTTATTGCCGCGTAGCGAAATATGGGAGAAAGGTGCACAGCTCCACCTCCGAGTCGAGTGTCTCGGGACGGCCTGTTCGTCGTCGCTCCACACGAGACACACGGGTACTTGATAGGTTGGACAAAGCGCTGCCCTCTACTCGCTCGTCCCCACCTGCACCAGACGATCGTGATCCCGAGAAAGCCGCAGTCGAAGATGGCAAGGATGTATGGTCGACTCGTGCCACGAGCACCGCACCGATTGTTCCCTCAGAAAGCTCCGGCTCGGTGTACAGCCAATCCAGCTATCCGCACGACGGTCAGACAACACCCACTGCAACGATGAGGCAAAGAGCAAGCGCACCTCGCACCACTAGCCCCGCACCAATCACACCAACGACAAGCTCCGCGTCGATGTACAGCCAGTCCAGCTACCCGCGCGATGGTAATGCCACACCTACGGCCACCGAAAAGCCAGGGGCAGGCGTCGGTCGATCGCAGACCTTTGAGTTGTGGAAAGCATGGGACACGCATGCTGGTGCCAGCGGTGGCTCTAGTGATCAGGAAGGGAAGGACGGCACAAGGACCGAAAGTGCCCCAAATCTGGCAAATCCTATTCAAGATGGAAACGATCTCGCGAGCTCTAGCAAGTATTCGAAGCAAGATCTGCCCGACAGTGCATCATCCACGGCCGTCAAGCCACTGTTATCGCAGAACGAGTCAGCAGATACCAACAGAAAGCGAAAACATCCAGCTTTTCGCCAAATTTCTCGACTCATTGCCCGTGTTCTTTAGGGAGCATGTTATGCTGGTACGTGCTCGAATGTAAGTTCATATATGGCATTAGTAGGTTACTGTAGGTACGTACCATATTCGCATTTGAAACATTTTGGACACCCAGATGGGCCCATCGAAAGCAGAGACATGGCGAGATATAGAGGGAAAAGCCGAGCATCCAACGAGCATCGGACTCACTGAGCGGCTGCCGTGTGAACACCGAAGCCAGATCCGGACCGATGATCCGTGGTCGCCCAATTGGACAGGTTTATTTGTGATGCATGTCTCTTCGTCCTCGTCGTCGCCCAACTTGAACACGTCCACCTCATTCTCATCCCGGGCAAGCACTGTCATTTCCCGTCCTGCTCGTTATGCTGTAAGTACGCCTATCTTCCTCGCTGTGTCACGTCCATGCGGCACCGTTCTGTTTAATTCCACATCTCAACAACGCATAGGATACTATCCCATTTGACATGCAGGCTACGAAGGAATGATGTTGGGATGTCGAGGACGTTGGGACGTGGCAGACACGATGCACAGCATACAAAGAGAAAGTGGCGTGGCGTAGGCGATGAAGAGACGATATGAGGCCACGAGGAAAAGAGGGCGGGGTTGCAACGTGAGGCGCGTGAGGGCTCGAGTGGAGGAGTGCTACAGACATATGTGTTGGCAGCGCCCCGGCATTGTTGGAGGGCACATGGTGTCTCACGTTGGAAATTGAACCACGATTAATCGCGTTCCCGCCCAGTATTCCTTCCTTAGCAAGCGGGTGATGGGAGATTCGAGCGCCTCTCATCATCGATAACTGCCTTTTAAGGAAGCGACAATCCCAATTTAGGGGGACGCCGGGCGCCTTATGAAGATTATTGACCCTCTTAACATCCAGGTCCCCCGTAGTATAATAGTCATTTGAAACTGTCCCGGATCTCCAAGTGTAAGAATTTTTTCAAACACCAGATATGCACAGGTGTCGCGCATAATTAGCGAATGGACTCGGGACGGGGTTCCCGAATTCAAGGAGGTTGAGTTTCGCTTAAACGGCGGAGGTGTGTCCACCGTTGTCTCTTTTACGCCTTGCTCAGATCCGAGACAGGCCTTCTCTTCACTGCAAGAGCGAGTAAGGAACTCATCCTTTCAGCTGGAGCAACAAACACTCCGCAGGTGCTTATGAACTCAGGAATAGGAAATCCAGAGCATCTCAGCGAGCACGGCATCCAATCCATCGTCGATCTCCCCGATGTCGGCAAGAATATTTTTGACCATCCGATTGTTAGTCTTTTCTGGCGCGTCAGCTCCAATGAAACGTTCGATGACCACAGACGAAATTCGATCCTCCAGGACGAGGCTCTTCAGACGTGAAGATACACCCACCAGGGAGTTTATGCCACTGGGATTTCGCAACACATCGGACTCGGGCGCGTACCAGACAACAGCAACATCTTCGCGAATGCTCCGAACCCTGCTCCAGGGCCAGGTTCTCCGCACTTCGAGATCCTCCTCTCGGTCAGTGATTTGCTACCTCGGCTTTGTCCCGCGCTCATTTGTGCTTTTGCAGAACTTCATTCTCGGACCCACTCCGCCAGAGGAAAATTATCTAAGTATCACGACATTTCTGTCTACCCCAGGCGACAACGCGCGAGGCTCAGTCAAGCTCAATTTGAGTGATCCATTGGCTGTTCCGCTCATCGATGCAGGGCTGCTTGCGGATAATGCTACAGACGTCCCGCTCATGCGTGAGGCGATCAAAACCGTTCTCCGTCTCGTCTCTGCTCCCGCTTGGGAAGATGATATTATCGGCCCTGTGGATTCGACCCAACCCAGTCTGAATGCGACGTGCCGAGTTGGACATATTCATTAGAGCCAATACGCGCTCCGGGTATCATGTCGTCGGAATTTCGAGCATGACGAGAAAGGAAGCAGAAGGAGGTGTTGTCGACCCCGATTTCAGGCTGAAGAACGCGTCTGGATCACGCGTTGTGGACACGTCAGTGCTGGTAAGTTTTAACTATTTTCAACCACGCCTACATCTTCAACATATTCCAAGCCTTTCGTCCCAGCGGGACATATTCATGCTCCAACGTATGCGTTGGCAGAGTGAGCTGCCGACTTGATCAAGGGGGTACATCCCGAATAACCCCCTGAGATCATTTATGGTAATTGCTGTGGCGTGTTACCCGAAGTTTCTGCTAGACTCGGTAAGTTTGCCTCCATTACTTTGCCCTTGTCGTTTCCCTCAAAATCCCTCCCGAAACCCGTTGAATCCAAAAAAAAATCATTTCCTTTACGAAATCCTCCCGGAAAAACTATTTCTTTTAAGACTAATACCGTGACTATGTAAACAACCCTTTCGCGAATTCATATTTGAACGACATGATCGCGCCAGGCTCGCTGCGGCTGCCAGGAAGTATTTGACGCCTGCGTTCATAAAACAAACTTAACTTACCGCTGAGCATTCTCACGGAAACTCCCCGAGGGGAATGCTAAGGCATATGAACAGCGACTCCATAGTCAAGCTTTTCGATTCTTGGAATCACCGGGATGGAAGAACCACTGACGAATAACCGACCATAATCCGACCAGGATAAATCAAGTGCTACCAGTGCGCGTCGGGTGCTGAAATATGTCATGGGGCGGTAAGTAGGCCACAGATCCCGTGCGGCCCCATGTTTCCTAAAATTAAACAGTCCAGGAGGGTCCAGGAAGAATTCAAGTCCGTAGAGTATGCGGCTCGTGCATCGCTGGGTCATTAGCCGCGGGGCGCGTGGTACTGCGCTCCCGAGAGCCAGCTTGAAAGCTTGTCGCCTGAAAGTAGTCTATTTGAGAATGAGCGCTTATCATTTTCTTCCTAGTTGGGACTATACGGAATCATCCTAACAATCGCCTGCATCCCGACTTGAAGATGGACATAGTTTCGTGGAGCAGGTTATAACACAGATAAATAGCAGATTTTAAATAAAGCTACCAACTATAGGACAGTCACGATGCAGTCTATGAAGCAGTTTCTATCCGAAAACTATCGATCGTCACGTCAATTCTCTTTGAGAGATTGCATCATTGTCATGCATCGAGCCGGCTAAATCGCTCGACAACAGTGAGGCTACTACTTGTGGGCATAGCAGCAATGGGTTGGTTAGATGCTCCCGCTTCCCGGAGGTTCAGGATGAGACGAGAGCCCTTTCAAAGGAAAAAGCAATGAACAATGAATTGTGGCACCATTGCATGAGAATAATCGAGCTCACCGCGAGAGAAAAGGTGACGATGATCCACCTACATTTTCATATTTTCGAAACGGCAGATAATTTAACATTTGGTTTCACTCCTACGGAAAACCACACTCACGGCATGTAAAGGATCTGAAGAGGGCCATCAACAAGGATCGTGATGGCAGCGCTCACAATGGCCATTGAGGCGATTCTATAGCGAGCGTTTCAACATTAATGAGCTGAGAAGCATTCACCCTGAACTGACAATTCCACTCACATAAAGAACGACATTGTACCGCTGGTGAAGAACGCCACGATAAGAGGCGAGAGCCTGACACCGCGTCGCTGCTTGGCCATCGTGGATTGATAAAATTTTATCATGGTCATGATGAAAAATAGAGCTGCGGCACATTGAAATTAACCCCATTTCATGCAGTTTATAATCAAAGACGCACTGTTGAGGAAGACGCAGGGCACCCTACAATAGTGCAACCCGGTATCAGACAAGGCGTATATAGACATTCAGTTAGTAAGAGAACACTGACCAAGATATAAACGTGAGCATCGTCGAGTCAGGAGCCGCTAGACATCCGAGGATTGGTAGTCCAAGAATCGGAGGAATGACGAAAGCAGAGCGGCTGGTGAGAACTCCGATTCGGTACATGATAAATATATTTCCCTATAAAAATCAGAGTTAAAAAAGGTATTGTATACGAGACTATGGACAGTCCAACTACATACACCAATGTCCGCTAAAGTGTTTTGTTCGGAACGGTCTTCACTAGCAACCCCGAATAACGGCAGTACTTGCCTACGATCAGAGAAGATAGAACGGCCAGAACTGCAATCAGTACGCGTCAGCCAGAAAAGAGGACTATAAGTTTTGAAACTGACTTTTGATATTCCTGTCATATAGAGCGTGTAGCCGTAGAACGAGAATGACATTTACGATTATTGAAAGAAGTGCTGGGCTGGTACTAGGGAAATTCAAGTATTTTGTGTCAGTAACGGCAGAATTCCCAGCCAAAGGAAATCTTACAGAGTGACGCTAATCCACAGGTAGGTTTTGCACCTGTATATTTTCATGAGGGATCGCATTTATATCTAGATAATATAAGCGCACAACTGCTCCGTTGTTGAGTTGCTATAGGCTAGAAGTTGGATTGTCACATTGATGACATACCTCAAGTGAATCTTGCACTTTCGAATAATCTGAACGAATATGAGGAGACTTGCTAGCAACTTTTGGGAGAAAGATAACCCTTGACGGACTTACTGACAAGTAGAAATCTTGGTAGACACACATGTGAACAATCAGCCGTAGCGAAACGGCAAGGTATGGCAATTTACTTACCCGACATCAATAAGCGCCCAATATCTTGCGAGAAGATACAGAACTTTAGCGAACGTCCATTGCGTTCTGAGAAAATATTAGGAACATTGTCCTCAGGACGGGGTCAATATATTACCTCCAAATGTGCCTAAACTAATGAATCACCAATTAGATAATTTTCAGTAAGGGCCTACTCTAGTTGCAGAAGGCGAATCCTGACCTCGCGAGGGAAAACAAGTAGCACGTCGTACAAGAGCAGGGTAAATGCCGATGCTATATTCGCGAAATAGCTTTATTATTCGTCAATTCTACCCTGGAGCTTCCTAACACTTACCGTGCATATAGGAATTCAATTGTCCCTGTCTGATTGTCGTGAAGAGCGTGTTCAACAGTCGGGCGTCCATCGTGGATTGAGACGGCGCGGCTCAATGAGATTTTCTGACCTTGGCCTCTTCAAAGTCTTGGGAGAGAGATGTGAGAAACCAAACGCTCGAAAGTTTCGCCTCACGTCTCCATCGTTCCCTTATATCATGGGCAGAGAACCCGATGTGCTTGTTCCGAACACTGGACATGCCACGGCGAGCGGACAAACGGTACCGTGTGCTGGGGGCAGTGCGATGATATTTCCGGTTCAAGGCGGTATCGCCTTGAACCCCATGCTTTGACGGTATTACCCAAGGATCAGTGGCTACTATTTTCCATATGCACCCACAAGAGACCCCACCAATCACAAATGACACGTCAAGGATTCCTCAACGGAAAAGGAACCATGGAACCCGGTAAATCTGCTTCGACGGCGTGCTGGAGTACAGCCGAAGCGCGACATCAACGGCGTCCTGGCAATCCGACAGGCTTAATGATCATGGGACACAGAGAGTTATTAGTGTATCGCGGGAAGGGTTCCAAGCCTTCGTAGAGCTTCAAGCGAAGCTCGGAGAATTAACTTGTACTGATGTCAGAGGAGCTGTGGCGATCCAAGGTCGATGAATTGTTGATGGGCTGAGGAGTCATCATTTCGTCTAAGACGCAAATCAACATTCCATGATGCCGGGGAAGTTACTGGCGGTACCTTTGTCTCGGGGTGGTGCGGCGGCGATAGCTTATTATTGGATAGCTGTGATACTCGCAGTTGAGAACTGAGCCTTCCATCAGAGGAGGGTCAATTAGATTACAACCAGGACTATGATACAGGCAATGCGCCTGGAAACTCAGAATGGTGGGCGTTAGTTGAGACAATAACACAGTACGGCCTGATATATACAGGGTCAATCGCGATTAGTGCCCCCGCCGCGTGCCAGAAATGGTTACCACGAGAACACAAGGCGCGATGCCAAAGTGACAACAGAGAGGAAAGCGCCTTCGACCACTGCCTGCACAAGCGTTCGCTCAAAGAGCTGCGATCTTCACAGCGAGATTACGACCGATGCGGACCGAACAGCGCCGATAATACCGATAAGATAGGCTTCATCCTGGAAAAGATAAAAGGCAGCACACCTCGTCAACAGGGCCGACATTGCGAGACACTGGTCATAAACACACTTACCTCAGGGTTAGGCATCCACTTACCGAACCGACAACGCTGTAGACACTGCGGGTTGCAGGCTGGTGGTCATTTCAACTTTGAGTATCGACTTCGAGTTTCCTCGGGACCGGGCCCGCTTGAGACTCAAGGCATACGGACAACGTTCAACGTAACATTTTTCAGTTATCGAAAGGTATGAAATCGATATCGGTGTTCGTGAGAGAAACCGCACCACGTCGTTATTAATGTTTAACCGTTTCTGGGCGCCTGTTTGTGGAAGAATTAAGCGCGTTTCTCGGATATGACCCGGCCGATATGCAGGGATGTGGCGGATGGGTCGCACGCCACCATAGATTAGAGAGAAGATAAGGGAGAGCGTTCATCAAGCTGGAGAGGGCGTGGCAAGCCTGCGTCGCCTCGTAAGTCAACGTTTAGTGGGGAAGTCATATTTCGCATACTCACAGAATCAGGTGGAGGAGTAGTTTTTCATAGGAGCTAGATAACTCAAAGTCGCCTCGATAAACGTGATGTTTGATGGAACGTTCGCAGGATATTTGTAGGGATGGCCGTTGTAGGAGAAAATGAAGGCCCTTCTTCGATGCTATGTGTGGATGTGCGGCCCTATCCGAAGCACGAGACGGTCCAAGGGGTGCGCAAGATTGATGCCAGGCATGCGCTGCGCAAAGGCTACCTGCACCATAAGAGTGTAATTTCATCATATCCCTGCGAAAAGTGACGTCATGCTTGCCCTTTTCATACCACGTTGCTACCTAAAATTGCAGGGAAATTGCGTTCGAGACGAATAGTTGGAGACGGAGCTGGATGGCGAGCGGTCAATGTCGGAGTTCGTAGCATCAGCTGGTTGGTGGCCTCGACGTAAGCGTGCTGAATCCTTGCAGGACACCAAAGTTTACTTTGGAGCCTTCCGTATTGCTGGAAAGAGAAGCATTAGCAGGAGGAGAGGGGCAAAGTAGCTAGACATACACGAGCCAGAAGGTGTATAGGTGTGGGCGGCAATTCGACCATGAAGCCGCACCGGAAATGAAGGAGGGACGTGTGCGAGACACATCGGACGGGCGCCGAACCCAGGAACCGGGCTCCAGAGAGGACCCATGATGGGGAATCAAGTGAAACGGCGTCATCAACCTGCTGCACAAGCACTCTCTAAGCTGACCGTGTTACTGCAAGTGTGTATGGTGCTCACATAAATCAGCTTGGCCGAATTCTCTGGTGATCCGTGGAACGTGAGCTACAGCCTGAGGTCTGAGGACAACGGTGGTGTAGTGTCGAATGAAATCCTCGCGAGGAACCGGCTCGGTGGCTCGCAGCTTCAAAGCTATGGCTCTTGACTCCGAGTATCAGAAGTAAGCTTCCTCGAAACCCGGAATCGCCCGCATGGTCAACGGCCAAACCAGAAGGCTGACGGAGGGCCCTGCGCTGTCGATAGCGCGAGATAAGTCGCGAAACGTCCGCGGATCGTCAGACTTGGCTGCACGACGAGCGGTGCCAACAGCCTTCTGGTTGGACAAATTTGGTAGATTAAGTAGGCCATGATGAATGTGGAAGGGTATGCACTTACTTCCTCTAACTTTTCTCTAGTCCGCGCCAGTCGCTATGATGAAATGAAGAGCATTAGGGTGTTCGTCCAGCAGTTGAGTTCGAAAATTCATTTCGATGGCTTGAGTCTGAATGTAATAGACAAGACGGCTGGAAAGCTCGCCTCGGGCTGTGTAGATTGACATAGCTGCGTCGAGGGGCGGGGACCAACAGCAGAAAAATCGTTACTGTTAACGGAATCGAGGATTATAGGCCATGTCTTAGCGGGGCTAGCCAGACGTTGTAGCTCGGTCGCCGTGAAATTGCCTTCGTGCATGCGTACGGGAGGTGACAAATTGGCCGCCATTCTGATGGGGAAAAAGTCTCTGGCCTGAAAATAAATTCGGCATTAAGCATAAGAAACGACCGAGACGGACGGTTCCCGCCTCTTTAGGCGCTTTTTCCTCTGGCGGAGATTATTGGAGCCGACAATGCTGATGCTTTGGCCGAGGAGACACCTCTGCATCTTCCTAAAAGGTAGGAAGCGAACGAGAGAAATGTACCCGGATGTCCCGGAATCTCGACAAGTCGAGCGATAATGCAATAGGTAGCATCTAAAAGACTGCAGAGTTTACGGGCTTCATCAATAAGGTTGATGAGAATAGACAACGGAGAGTTGAACGAAGCAACAACCTTGCCGAAAAGGAACGTGATGGTCACGGCTTTTAATTGAACGATGCCGACCACGTTTGAACAAACAACCCAACAGCGTGCCCGTACGTACATGCGTGAAACCCATGGTAATTCATCTGGGGGAGAGAACGAGAGGAGAGGTGAGGCTCCCTTCGGCGACGATCTGGCGGGCTGATCCAGGGTTGTAGATGGTGATAGCATCGCGGAGATGGTTCGATAGCACGGAATGAATACCTTGGAGGCTGGAAGGTTAATGTTTTGAGATCTAGAGGCGGTAATTACATGCGCACCAGATTTGTTTTTATTCTTTATTTCGTAAGGGTTGAGCCGGCCGAGTTTACCGGATGGAAAGGCGTCTAGCAGAGGAAGAAAGAATCATGCCGCCGTTCTGTGGGACGGCAGAACCCCTGTGGCATATTGTCTGCATTCCTTGTGGGCCAAGCTTCAACTTTACGCGGCGAAAACGAGGAAAGAACAGCTCACCATGGAAATGGCGTACGTATCCTTTTTTTCTGGTCTGCAAGATAATTTGGGGTGCGACGGCAGTAACTTTGATAGCTAGGGCCCTCCGCCGGACGATCCTTCGGATGGCGGGCAACATGCGCGTATACTTATGCTTATTTAAAGCTTATGGACGGGCTGATTGCACGATTTCAAGCGCGAAGAACGTAGGTGACGCGTCGGACTATTCTCCTAGAGCCGATGGTCGACGATGGGAGCCCACGGCGGGGAATAGGCAGGAGGCGGTGAGGATGGCGGTGGGAAGAGACCTTGTTTGAAGCTCGGGCGTAAACAAGCGACATGAGGGCGTCGCGGAGGCTGAAAATGTCTCGTGACATCGTCGCGCCTTGGACCCGGTCCACCACCACCTCTGCCCTCCGCCTGCTGCTTGCGTTCTGCAGTCTCAAAGCAGCTGTACGAGCTCCATCCATTCTGGCTGGCTGCCCAGTTGCCAGAGCGGGGGCTCTTGTGATGCCCCTTTCGCGTTGTGGATCGCTGGGCTGGGTTGCTAATGTCCGTCAAATATCAGCCCGCTGGCCGTTACTCCTTTGGAAGGACCATAGAAGCCCCTCTGGCGTTGTTCTGTGATTCCCGCTCTTCGTCTTTGCGTAATTCTGCCTGCCAATCTAGCGAAATCCTGTCAGGCTGTTCCGTCCTCGGATTCGATATCTTTGAAGCCAGCCCAAGTTCAAGTTGTCGGTATCTGACAAATTATCGAAACATGCTCGATAATCTTTTTGTATTGCCTTAACGTCCGCTCCGATTCCCTTCTGGACGAACAGGAGGCTTACGACAGTATTTCATATCCGTCCTATGTCATGAAAATTGCATTCGTGGTTCCCTCGCCTTCCTCATCCGTGCTCGACTGCCGCCCGACTACCGAATCGTCCAAAGGGGCCAGTATATAAGCGAGGATGTCCGCCCTCTCTGTTAAAAAACCCAAGTTCACGAGACACCTCTCACAATCGCACCACCCCAACAATCCCCCCACCCCCACATACCATTCTCAATGGCCTGCACCTGTAAACATCACGCAGCCGATCACATCCTCGTCCGATGTGGCTGCTCGAACGATCGCCCGAGCACAGACCCGATGTCTATCAACGACGACGCATTCCATCGCGTCTGGTGCATCACCTGCCTCAAGTACTGCTCCAAGGACGCCTCTTGCCCGGCAGAGCTACCCCTAACACGAATGGTACGCCCTAGAATGCATCGTCTCTATGCGTGTGTTCCTTCATTGAGACTCTCTACCTTTCCAGCATCCACCCTTTATGCCCGTAAGCACCTGACCCATGTGCCTTTCCCCCACTCACAGACACCTAGGTTTCCTGGCCCCCTTCAGGAGCTGGGTCGGCAGACGCATTAGCGGCGCCACGCATGTCCAGACATCCTAGCTCACAGTGAAATCGATTTCCACAAGATTGGGACCGCTGAAGAAGCAGATCGGAGTACTCGAGCGGTTGACGTCGCAGGGCGGTTCTGATAGTGTGCTCACACGAATCACGATAATCACAAAGCGTTGTACACACGCTCTACTCGTATTTTCCTCGTTAACTATCGCCAGTCCTCTATTCACGCCCTGATAGCTGATTCATCTGTACATAATTTCACGGTTTATTGCCCTGTATCCTATCATGGCAGCGTTTAATTTTTTTTTCTTTTAAAAAAAACATCCACTCTTTTTCAGTTATCGTCCCTCAAGGCCGTGAGTGTGGGTACCAACCTCATTCCCTATAACTTTCTTTGACAGAACAAGGGATCTTCTCTGATATAACCCCGGGCAGGCCTGCCCTGCACGAAAAGAGTTGGTGTGAGAGCACACCGTACGTCCTTTATTTAAATCATCTTATTTACACGCCCTTGCCCGAAAAAATCGCGGCGTTTCAGCTTTCGCCTGCAAACAAGCGCCGTAATACAGCGAGTAATTTTCCCCTCCAGACCCTCCTTTCTAAGAGCCCACCTATCGCGTAGCGAATTGTGGCAGCTCTTTACGAGACGGTGTGCGAGACATCAATCAAAATTCGTTCACAAAACAATGTGGGTAAATACGGCAATAATTTCATAGCGCATACATGCACAGGGAAGACAAAACCCTGATCACCGCGCACGTTCTTCAGAGCTTCGCGTGTTGCAGGACATACTGAGAAGCCGTCTTGGACTTGACCTTGTTTACATCGTTCACGGTGATAGGCCGACACTCGCACGCATGGTTATACCCGAGTCTGGAGCGGAGATGAAGCCACGCGAGGGTTAATAGCGGGAGCGGCGACTGACCTTGCCCTGCCATCCACCCCTCCAGGTTTGTAGAACTCGGGCCGCCTGAGCAGAGACACTACCACGGCACCTCCCAGACCGACGTTGTGTACAAGTCCGTATTTGCCACGCTTGTCAGGGCTGTCGAAGAGCCCGGGCGCCTGCATAGGCCCAGCCCCTGCAGGCATGTCAGCGATTACGGCAAAGTCAAAGCAGGATCCACTTACAGTCTCTGAGTTGCACTAGGAAATTAGCACACAGAAGATCAGAAAGACAATGCAGTCGAAGAAGGAAAGACAGACTCATGATGTAGAAGTGCATTCCCAATCCAGTTGCTCCTAACGGATGTCCCTTCGCTTCGAGGCCACCGCTAGGGTTCACCACGTACTTGCCACCATACTAATACACAGCTCATGACATCAGGTAAGGTTTCATGAATTCATCACAGGTACGCACAGTGTTGTCTCCACGTTCCACGAGCTTGTGGGCCTCATCCGGCGGGCACAGGCCGAGGGCGGCGTATGTGATCAGCTGAGGTAAACTTGTCAGAGAGAAGGTTTCGTTTCGTCATGGGATCGCTACCCACCTCGTTCGCTGAGAAACAATCGTGCAGCTCGACGACGCCAACTTGATCACGACCCTGACCGTTAGCGAATCCAGCTTCTTTGAACACTTTATCCGCGCATGTCTTCGTCATCTGGTACCCAACAACGTCCATGGCGCTCCGCCCTTCGAAGGTCGAGGATCCGTCGGTGGTCAGGGCCTGCGCCACGATTTCGATGGCCTGGTTCTCTAAGCCATGGGCATGCACGAAGTCTTCGGAGGCTACGATGCACGCTGCGGCGCCGTCCTGGAAATCAAATAGATGAATATTGAATGGCGTGTGCAGAAACGATGTTACGGACGGAAGTCGGGCTGCACATGAACTTCGTGAGGTTCTTAGTGATCTTTGGAGCGGCCAAAACTTTCTCGACACTCCAACCATCTCTGAATTGAGAGTAGGGGTTGTTTACGGAGTGTCTGTGGTTCTTGGAAGCTAAACTTGAACTAAGAGTCTGAAACACGGATGACAAGGGTATTGGACATACCAATCTTAGCCAAATGTTCGATACCACCACCGTACTTCGCAAAGTATTCAGCAGCCCCATTATCAAACATGCGAGGAGCTCCGGGTCCGTGATTCTCCCCTAGTTCCTCTTCGAGCTCGTATGACTTCTGGTTGAACAAAATCATTGGCGAAGGGCGGTCGGGGAAGTTGGTGCCCAAGCTGCCGGGCTTCATCCTCTCGAAACCCAGGGCAAGAGAACATTCGACCTCGCCGTACTTAACGGCGTTATTGGCTTGGTACAGCGCAGACGAGCCCGTTGAGCAGTTATTGTTCACATTGATGATGGGGATTTGGGTGAGGCCAAGGTTGTACAAAGCCCGCTGGTTATGTGATCCCGGTTCGTGAACGTGAATGGATGGAGGTGCGACGGAACTCACCTGTCCGCTAGTCGAATCACCGTAGCAGTACCCTACGAAAGCAGTTTGAACAGTGTCGTAAGTGATACCTAAGGGGGCAATTCAGGTTTAAACCCCGGAAAAGCTCGCGATGGCACGATATTGGACGGACCCGCATCGAGGAGGGCTTTGGTAGCAGCCTCAAGCCCCATCTGTTCATTTGGTTGTGACATTTCCAACTATATGAGTGAAATCATCCGTCTTACATCCTCCGTAGTCCTAGTAGCTCGAGGCTAGCCTTGCTTCAGGTCAAGTTGAAGCAAAGAGGCGTATCACGTACCTTGATGAACGCCGTGCACCCACCACCAATCAAGAATGTCCTTCGTCCTGGCATTTCAGTAGTTCGAGGTCGTGTTAGAGGGCAGGGAAGCAAATGCGGGGTAACTTAAGGGGCGTGTGGGGTAATATTCAGCATATAAGTAAAAGCTAGTAAAAGGCGTTCACATGCTGGCGGTCGAAGGACAACCGGCTACCGGCCTTCAATCGTGCCTGTCTTCGGTCACCTGAAGATGCCCGAGAGGACTGTGCAGGGTACAAAATGAATTCTCGTCGGCGGCCTGCAGCGCAGACTGCGTCTTGCCGTACAACCGAAGACGGTTCGAATCGAACCGAGGAACATATGCTGATACTAATAACGCCGTCTTTGCAACGAGCAATTACTACGACGGGCCGGTATAAGTGGGATTTCATCTTATAGGATGAGCATTGAGGCCTGAGGAACTACTGTCTACAAGGGAAGATCCTCAAGTGTATGGATTTTGAAGCGCAAAAACGGAGTATAGTTAAGAGGTGGATCGAGATAAAAGGCCCACTCTCACAAGATCTCAGGGAACGCACTGAAGCAAGCAAGTTTGCATTTCCATTCCGCATGAGAGAAACCTAATTCCCTTTTGCTAGCAGATGATCTACTTCCTCTTGAGCCGGGGTTTAGGGAACTCGACGGGAGCGTTGAGGACATCATGCTTTTCTTCCGCCGAGCTACCAGCCAGACCCAACCTCGCACGTTCCCTCTCGCCGAGCTTTGTGATTTTACAGCCTATTCACTCGTTAAAAAATCAGCGGCGGCACAAGTTATCAGGAAAGAATGTAATACGAACCCAGAGATTTGAACAGCTGGTTCACCCTAGACACATGTTCAGAGTGATGTTTTAGCAGCAGACAAAAGCGAACTTACTCAGTAACAGGCATGCTCAAATCATGTGCGATAACTTTCGTATTCGTGGCGTAATTGTCGACCTTGAGACACAACGCCAATATATGCGTTAGGAGATTGGTCTTCGTAGTGGAGGTAGCTTGGTAGCTGTAGCAAAATCAAGTTCTTATCCACGTATTTTCGCACATGCACTTACCTCGATGATGCTCGCGCCGTCTCAGCGAATCGAGATAGAAGACTGTCGACCACAATGGTTGGAACAGCTGCTAGACGCTCGTACAAGTTATCTCTATCAAGGCCTTTTAAAAAGGTAGCTTGTCTAAAGGACAGCATGGCGGATATGTAAAGCAGGATTTTGCTAAAGAAACCATGAACAACCATTATTTTGGAAGATGCAGTTGGAAAAAAACACACAGATTCCTCTTTTTTGTCTTTCCTTCAGTGTTGACGAGAGCCTTTAGGCGGTCATTTATCCATGTCGACTTACGATATGCCAAGAGAGCAATTTTATCCTTGTCCGTTTCCGCGACGTCGAATGCACTGACGGAGAGTGCTTTCCACTCCGCCTCTGGGATGATGTTGTGAAGAGGATATATGTCAGCAGGATCCGTTGCAGTAGCAGAGAAAGGTGGGATAAGGCGGTTTTTGTCCGCAGCCTCTTTCGTGTCCTCTGTTTTTGTAACGACAAATGTGAACTCCATGAATGGAAAGGGAAAAGTTCAGAGACGCACCCGTCGTGAGCAGATTTCCCGCTCCTTTCTCGATGCTGTCCATAACATAACTCATGACACCCTCCATAGCAGAGACATCAATGCGATTGCGCTCTTGAGCTCTGATGCTAGCTTTTTGCTTTTTCGTGCCGAACGTCTCCCCGAGGGCCGTCTTGGCCTCAAGGTATTGGACTTTGGAAGGTGCAGCAGAGGAAGGAATGGATTTAAGAGCCTTGACGGTATGCGCTAGAATGTGAGGCGTTTTTGCGGATGGAAAGATGGATATAGTGTTCGTCTTTTTGCTTCGAACGGCAAGGAGATACCTGCGACGGTCTAATTAGAGACGTCGTGCGTTCATGGAAAATCACTCACCGACAACCTGCTGCTGCGACTTTTCTGCTTTCTATCTCATTAGAGACGAACTCAACCGCTGGTGTCTCGCCCGCGACAAGCATGTCGTCCTCGTCCGGGGCATCCTTGGCAGTTTTAGCCCTTTTTTGCGCATAACATTTGAAAGCGGTAGACGATGGCGGCTCGAGGGCTGGAAAGCTCACTGTAGAGCAAAAATGCGTGGTAAGCTTAGAATCGTCATGTTGCATGGGATCCAGCACCAAGGACAGGGCCCACTCGACCCGAGCCGGAACCTGCGAGCTCAAAACGTGCTTCCAAACTCTCATCGCGCTTCCTCTTTTTGGAGACCACTTTTTCTGTTGACATAATTTGCTGTGTCGACTCTCCACAGGATGCGTAGGATTCTTTGTCGTATGGCCTGTCAGAGGAATGGGCGGTGCCTAGGGTGGAGATGGGAGGAGACGACAAAGTTTGGTCGGAATTTTCGTTCACGGCTATTTGTAACCCGTACCACTACATGTCCGTATCGTCCTGCTAGGACACCCCTTCCTCCCTACCTGCACTCTTTCGCGGCGTAGGTGAGCACTCACCTCTGCTAGGTATCCCAATTGCAACTGTTCGTTGTTGAAGGGCCGACTTTGTCGTTCGGAGTGCCTGTGAAGTCACCCCAGGTCTCCGGAACCCTCTTCCGCCCGCACAACCTCTGTCGGTATACCGATATTTCGTCCTACATGGAGGGCGTACATTCAACACTGAGGAAACGACAGAGCGAGAGTCCGTCCCTAGCGCCGGGCGTGGACAGGCCAGCTGTTGATCTGTCGGCAGCAGCCACAACCAAAGAAGAGTCCTTCACTGCGACTCCTTTGTCCACCACCTCGATCACCCCCATCCTTACCATGGATCTCGACTTCAACGCTGACCCCGACGTCAAGCTTCAGGATGACACCCTGCCTTCGCCATCCCAATCGCCCACCCTAGTGGCAGACGTTTCCGGCCAAAATTGCAAGATGTCGCCGTCTCCCACCCCTCCGCCTCCAGTGATGACGGACGATGGCAGCACCTCCAAATCATCCACCCCACCTCTCGCAATACCGGGTCGAGGCGCCCGTAAGGTTGCTCCTGCTCCTGTACAGCTCATTGGCGACCTTCCAGTTGCCCGTGAGGCTGCCTTGAAGGAGTTCACTGAGATTTCGGACAATAACTACCAATACAAGTCTCTCGGTCGGTCCAGAGAGGTTTTTGAGAGCATGACCTGCGATTGCAGTTACAAGCATGGTTCGTCCTTTCTCTCTCTTCCTGACTTGTGGATAGGATCGTGTTTTCGTAGTTAGTGCCATCGAGCGGATTCATTGTGGCTCCTGCTGTGACCAACATGTGGCCTGACGTGTCCCCACAGGTGTTGACAAGCCAGATGTAGCTTGCGGACCCAGCTCAGACTGTATTAACAGGCTAACGCAGGTCGAATGCCTTCCGGACGACTGTCGGTGTGAGACATACTGCCAGAACCAGAGGTAAAACTGCCTTCACTGATTACATACAAGGCAGAAAACTAACAATCCCGGTGAATTTCCCGCAGGTTTCAGCGGAAAGAGTATGCTAACATCGACATTGTGCTGACGGAGAAGAAGGGCTATGGGCTGCGAGCGGAGGGAGATTTGCCCAAGTGAGTTCTTGTCTCCACCTCCAATGACCCTAGCTCAAGCTCCTTTACAGAGACGCCTTCATATACGAATATGTCGGCGATGTTGTCAACCCTATATCCTTCAAGAAACGCATGAGAGAGTACGCAGAGGAGGGAATCCGTCATTTCTACTTCATGATGTTGCAAAAGGATGAGGTGCGTGGCTGTATTATATAAAATGATTTCATTTTGCTTAATTTGCAGCAAGTTTATCGATGCTACGAAGAGCGGTGGTATTGGCCGTTTTGCAAACCACAGCTGTAATCCCAATTGCTACGTCGCGAAATGGACTGTCGGCGAACATGTCCGGATGGGAATTTTCGCCAAACGTAATATCAAGGTGCATGAGGAGCTGACCTTCAACTATAACGTCGATCGTTATGGGTGCGTCCGACAGATCCTCCCTTATTTTCTCTTTACTAAGCCTGGTTTCCTTATAGACACCAAGCCCAAGAATGCTTTTGCGGCGAGCCCATGTGCGTTGGCTACATCGGTGGCAAGACGCAGACGGACATTGCTGCGATGGATGACCTCACGCTGGATGCTCTGGGAATTACGGACGAGGATGATCTAATGGAACTCAAAGGCACAAAGAAGAAGAAAGGAAAGAAGATCGACGATCCCGACTTCATGGTCAGTTTAATTTTTGTCTATCATTTATAGCTTTGATGCATCTAATACGTTTCGTAGCCAACCTTGAAAGCTATCTTGCAAAAGGAGGTTCCGAAGGTTGTCCAAGCGATTCGGCAATCGTCTAGCAAGAAGGTCCTGTCGAAGTTGCTTACTCGCATCAAGGTGCGAACTGTCCTCATCCTCGTTATGCACGACCTTGTTTCTCACCTACAAACAAAGATAACGGAGGACCAAACTGCCCTTAGGGAAATTATGCGATTACGTGGGTACAGCTTGATGACGAACGTTTTGGAGGACTGGGCTTCCGATAACGAGCTGGTCACGCTAGTACGTTCTCCTAGATACTTCTGTCACTGGCTGCTCATCAACGTCCATCATTTAGTGTCTTGAGTGTATGCAGACCTGGCCGCTGCAGAATCGCAACAAGGTTCAGGACTCAAAGGTTCATGTACCAGTTGAGGCCTGTGCTGCGCTCGAGGACGAAAAGATCAAATCTTTGGCTCAAAAGGTCGGTCTTATCTCCTTTTCTTTTTCGTCTTTTCTGAAGCCTGGTGCACAATAGCTTCTCGGTCATTGGGAGTCGTTGCCAGTATACAATCGAATACCTAAGAGAACCTTCAAGGTACGTTACGTTTGCAAAATTCTTCGGACGATGTTTTGACGACTTATGTCGATTAGCGCGAAGAGTTGGAATTAGAGACACTAACTATTGCCCCTGTGGCATACATTGTCCCTGCAGATCCTCGCACGAAGCTGCGTCCGAGGTCTCCGCCACCTACACCACGTCCTCAAAAGAAGCCTCGACATTCCGAGCCCTATCCCGCCTCCGGAAGCGGAGGTAGCCGGATGCTCCTCCTCCCTCCAGATCAGATGAGGGCCCTTGAAGCTGCACGGCGGAAGAGGGCGGAGGAGGAGAGGATTTCCAAGCAGTCCATCAAGGACATCATTGCTTCTGCTGCGGAGGCAGCAGCGGCAGAAGAGGCTGCGGTGGCTGCTGCTGCTGCTGAAGCCAAGGCCAAGGCGGAGGTAGCCGCGGAGAAGGCTGCAAGGAGAAAAGAGCGGGCGCTGAAGAAGGCGACGATGACGCCGGAGGAGAAGGAGAAGAACAAGGAGAAGAGATTATTGAAGCTTGTTGGCGAAGTTGTGGTTAAATGCATGTCGAAGCATTCGAAAACATTTGATCGGGACTCTTTCAAGAAGCATGCTCGCGAGGTAACGTCCCTGTTGCTCTATCGGGCAAACACTGACTGAGACTGCTCTTTTTTTCTTCAGCTGACACAAATCATTACCGATAAGGAGAAGAAGTCTTCAGGCTACCGTGAAGGACGACTAGAAGCACTCTCAGAAGAGAAGGTGGGGAAAATAAAGAAGTTCGCGAAAGAGTACATTGCGAAGATCCTGCGAAAGATGGAGAAGTCGGGTAAAGGTCACCACCACCACCACCATCACCGACCTCCAGGTTCGTCTGCTTCTGCAACTGCTTCAACATCGACTTCAACGCCGTCGGCCATGGACAACACGCCGTCAACATCGATGCACACACCCAATTCAAACGATGGAGAGGATGCACATATACATGACGCAAGCATGTCAATGTCTGTCGAGGAGGCGATGGGGATGGACTCAGATTCGGGCAATGATGATGATCTGGAGGGTGGAGGCGAGGCTGAGGCTGATCGCGACGAGGATATGGCTGGACAGGAGGTGCCGGATCCACCCTCTGTCTCCGTGAGCATGCCACCGCCACCGTCACCGCCAAGATGGAAGGACGCTGTGAAGGACGAGGCACCAAACCAAGATCCACATGCCATGCACACCGACGATGTGCTGATCGTGACAGCATTGTATCATCCAGACCCTCGCCTGCGCGCTGTCCCTGACTCGTAACTGTATTTTAATTGTTAAATTATGCAGGTAATGGACCACGATGCTTGCTGTTTGTTGTTTTTACTCCGATATTGCTGTCTCCGCTGTTGTTCTGGTTATGGATACCCCGTACAATACTTTGTTTCGGTGCTACTCGTAATTGCTTGCTTGCTCGAACGAATGAAATGGGTTTATTCGATGAGTCCATCCACTGTATCGTGGATATTGACCCAAGGGTCGCGGGGGACATTCGACCACCGTTGAAGGGGGCCTTGGAGTCGAGCGTGCCGCAGGTAATTGCGCAGGGACAGGGAAGACGCTGTTCCGATATGTGGCTCGGTGGGTTAGGCCTCTGATTCACGAACATGACCTCCCATACATTGCAAACGTTCTGGATAGGCTTAGTTTGGAGGTTTCGGAAACTGCTGTAAAACGACCCAGCGAGTGAGTTTGTCACTTCGTCGACATAAGTTGCATGCATGGGAGATACTAGATAAATTCAACGGGAAAATTGGGACCTTCGTTGAAGGCGTCGGTCGAGCTTCATGCCAGCAATTGTCTTTGCAAGGAGTGACGTCATGGCTTGTCAAAAGCACCCCGGGCCGAGAAGTTACATCACGTGAATACAAATTTTGTTGCTTTTGATAATTTAACGAAGTCGATATTTGAATTGTCTCCTTCATACCTCCTTCACGCGTCCCGATAGGCCAGGGGTCATGTCAAGTCTAGCTGCACAGCTAGCACAAAATGCATCCCTAAACGCTTCTCTTTTGGTCGATCGATCCAAACGAAAACCCACCGTTTCATACCTCTTCACTGGCCGAGAAGCAGACCAACACGACTTAGACGCTATCCACGCCTTGGGAATCAACTCGCTGCTGCATTTGGCTTCTGTGAGGCCTGGCCTGAAAAAATATGAAGAGATCCTCTTCTCCGAGAGAGCAAGAGAGACAGATAGGACTATGCTTACGAAGGAGAATGTGGAGGAACTGAACGAGGCGATCGAGGATTTCTTGTTGCTATTGGGACCTTACTTAATGGAGGCTCCTGCAACGAAAATTTTGGAGTGGCTTGTAAGGAGGTTCAGGTGAGTTTTGTGCGTTGACTTTCGTGGAAAATGAGAAATATAAGACGGAAGACAGGATTCACGAATTTAATCTCGAAGCTGTTCTTTCTCTATTCCTTCCCTATCATGAATCTCCGCACTTCGCAAAAATGGTCACCATCTTGCAAATAAAGTGGGTCAAATGCTACTGAGGCGAAATTTGCGTTGATCGCCTTGTAGACCGAACTCGACATGGAGCTTTCTCATTCCCTACAAATCTGCTGCTCAGAAGCTGCCTCGCGTTTCTCTTGTCACCGAGATGCTCAAGAACGATGAAGTCGCCCGTTTCGTGGCCTCTCTTCTCCCCACCGGTGTTAAAAAGGACCTGATTCATCGCACTTTGGTTGCATTCTATGCGGCTACTATGCATGAGTTTATTACGCGAAGCAAGTCTCTCAAGGAGGGTACAGTTGCATATATACTCCCGGCGCTGCTCGAACCTCTGCAGCGAAAGGTGAAACTGACGTCGGGGGATGTTGTAGTGAGCTTCCATCCCTTTTGATCGCTTTTCCGCCTATCCATCTCGTTTTTCTAGCTAGGAAGCTACATCCTCTTCTCCGCACTGTCAAAGAAATGTGAATTGTCCGCTTCCGCTCTTAACATCGTCGTTGGTGCCATGGCATCTTCTGCCCAGACGGTAAATCCAGATCAATTCGTCAATTCCCTTGTCGCCGTCTGTGAACCACAACCCGAACTGGAGCACCTTTCGGATAAGACACTGAATGCCATTCTTCAACTTTCGTGGGTACGAATTTCTATTTTATGAGCTTGCATTGAAATTAGTTTTAGCAAGGTGAAAGAATGCTTTACTTCAACTATGACATGGGTTGGCTGCGAGAAGGTCCTTTCTCCCCTGGCCAGGGGACTCAGTAACAGGTATTTCTTTTCCAAGAAAGGGAGGAATGGGCTGACCTGATGTTCAGATTAAATGATGAGACCGCTGTTTCGTTACTAGAAGCCCTAATTGCCATGCCCTCCATTTCTCTGGCTGTCATCGAGGCTTTGACGTCAACCCTACTCCTCATCAGCATCAAGCAAGATAATGGAACAGAAACGATCGTCACTGCTCGTCGGCTTCTATCATTCGTGCAGCAACGCTATCCAGCTGTACTACAGAGGATTGCCGATGGGCTTTCTGAGGACGAGGAGTCAATCCCACTGGCGATGGGCCAATTAGTCATCTCCTTATCCACAGTAAGCCAGTTCTCATTACATTTATTACAAGTAGTTTCCAACTCCTTTTCGCCCACATCGCAGATTCCTGGGATGTCGAGTGGCATCGAAGATTTCGACACAATTACTTCATCCTCCAGTGCCGATGAGAAAATTCGAACAGCCGCCGTCAAGAAGTTGCTCAAATCGCTTTCAGGCAAGGAACTTACGGAACTTAAGGAACTAGTAAGAATGCATTCATTTGGACCACATAGACACTTATCGAACAGCAGGAATCTATTCGAGGTGTGCTTACTGCTCGTCTTCAAGACGACAGCACGGCTGTTCTTGGAGCTCTGTATGGAAACCCAAGTACCATCACCCAGGTCTTCCTCTCGGATCCGAAGTTGTACCTCTCATCATTACGTACTGCGATGACGTCCCAACCCAAAACCAAGCGGGATGCCCTCCGTCTACATCTCACGTTCCTATTCTCCCATTTCTACAGTAGCGCAGATCAGGCAATCAAGGACGAAGTCTTTCACGTGCTCGTCTTCCCGTTATTGCTATTCTCCAAATCCAGGCAGAAAACGGCGGAGCTTGTATGGGACATCGTTAGCGAGCAGCTCGAATCGCAGTCAACGAAAGGGTCGGTGCTTTCGGAGTGGCTCGCAGGATGCGCTAAACTCGTCAAAGAGGCGGTAGTGAAGAATGATGGCGCGGATTCCGTCGAGCGGATGAATCATACCAACTTCGCTGTCGCAGGCAAGATCGCAGGTTCGCTTTTCCTCGCTCTACGTTTGCTTCCTTCGCTCGAACGATGATTTGCAGAAAACATTCTTGCTTCAAACCGCTTCTCAGACTACCTCATCACCCTCCTTGGCAAATTGCAAGACTGCAGCGTGCATACAAAGTTGTTTGCTTACTTGATCAGCCTGCTTCTGATCAGGAAGGCGTCGGGCGACCACCAACTCGACGTTGCCCAACGCATGCTGGAAGTGATGGATTTGAAGCGACTTTCCGGTGTCAATGATCTATCGCAGGAACATCTCTCGCTTGGAGTCAGTTAGCTGTCCTTCGTTATCCCTGCACTTATTCTGACAGTTTCCAGTCTGCTGAGGACGTTTCGTTTGGCAGATATGCCGTCACCAAGCCTCACAATGCGGCTGCTTTAAGTTGGCTACAAGTGTATATGATCGCCACGATTGCACAAATTGCGAAGCCACATGGCGTTGTCCTTGACTGGTTTGCGTCTGCGGAGATTGTGAGTCTCATGGTTCTTTCTCATGAACTGCACAATCCTAAGGAAAGGATAGGGATCCACCAGCTGCGGACGGCGTTACGTTCGCCTTATGCGATCCATCTATCGACTCGCAAACGCCTCGACGACCCTACCCGTATTGTCTTCCGCCATTCTTCAGTTGCTATTTATCAGCCTGCAAGATGGCGCGTTGGCATTCTTAGCCGGCATTTGGACAGCCCCGGCCACCGACGACTTGAAGGAATCCATAGGCATTTCGTTACTTCACGCTGCTGCGTTCTTAGAGGCGCATATACAGGAAGATGATGGCATAGATTTCCAGACCATTTTACCGGCCGTCCTTGTTGCTCTACAGAGTTCAGATGCTCAAGTCCGGGAAGGTGGTCTAGAATGCATTTCCAGGATCAGGATACTGAATGAACGGTGGTTGTCGTCGATCTATCAGTTTGACGTTATCTATGGACAGGGTGATAGTATGCGTTCTGACGATCCTCAGAGGGCAATCGCTAATCTCATTTTTATTCTTTCCAGATACCCTCCAATACTTAGATCAGAGTGATTTGAAGCGTTATCTGAACGACCTCGTGGGGCATCGCGACCACTTCGCAAACGACGCGTCTTATCTCAAAGTTTTCCATGAGCAATACTTGGGTCGTGCCAAATCAGAAAAAAAGAAGGATGTTGAGTGTGTCTCTTCGTTCTCCTCACTGTTGAGGCTCTGATCCAGTGTCTCAGCTATAAACACCGCGTGATATGCTACATTCTGTCGCATGTGAATGCCATGTCTTCGGAATCTGCCCAGGTCGCCCTTCTCAAATCTATCGCCACCATCGCTGACAAGGCGAAGAGTCAAATCCTGCTTCCAACAATCCAAGCCCTGGTCGAAAAGGCGTCCAGGTCACCAGCTCCCACCATCTTTGTTTCCACTTCAGAAGAGCTCACCACGCGTACTTTGAGTTGTCTGGATGCTACAGCCGCTGAACATTTGAATGCATCGACTCTGACATGGGATATCTTCACACAAATGGTCCAGACGTACCTTCGTCCAGGTCTGTCATCTAGCTACCCTTTTCACAAGAATTCCTTGACATTTTCTCAGGCACTCCACTGGCCGCTCAGCAAGCCCTTGTTCACGGTCTGGAGATGGGCTTATTCTCGGCTCTGAATGAGCAGAACAAGATCACACTCTGCGACATCCTGCTGGAACTCGGTTCGAAGGATCTGTCCTCCATGTCACTAGCCAGAAACTTGCTCTCGAACATTCTCGTCGATGTGTCGTTGATCATTCACCTGTTGGACATCCTATCCCCTGTCGGACCGCCCTCCAGTCCAAGAGTCAGCAAACGGGCCAAGACCTTAGAGTGAGCATTTGTGCCTTTTGCACATGGGAGAGAGCTCTTACATCTGTCTGTACTAGAGCTCCAAAAGACACTCTGCCTCGTCTGAGTCTCTTGGCCGAAATACTGGGAACCAAGTCGCTGCCAGGAGATCTTGACCTTATTTCTCGCCTGCTAGACACCCTCAACCAGGTTGTGCAATCTCTCCCTCCTACGCAAGCCGAGGTCAGCTACATCGAGCAACTCCTGATGTCTGCTATCGAGAGCGCCGCTTCCAAAGTCATAGTATGTTTATGTGGATAGCCAGAGCCACATCAGGCCTAATGCTGCCTTACAGGAGGCCCCAAACCTATCGCCGAGCGTAATCAGGTTGGACATTCTCGTTGAGGTCATTCGAGGTGGGTGTTGTCACAGGTGCAGATAATGCGACATGCTTATTTTTCAACAGTCTGCGGTAACCCTCAAACCTTCCATCAAGCCCTCCTTCTGATTGCAAATTTGGCCCGTTTGGCGCCTGAATCCGTTCTTCTCAATGTGATGCCCGTCTTTACGTTCATGGGTTCCAATGTCTTCCATAGAGATGACTCCTACAGTTTCAAAGTTGTCCAACAGGTGACATTCTCAACGACGAGATCATGACTCATGTCCCTAAACTATATTTTTCTAGACAATCGACGGAATTGTTCCTGTCATGGTCTCATCGTTGAAGAAGGCCCATTCCCAGCCTCTTGATCTATACATCGCTTCAAGAGATTTCCTCCGTGTCTTCACGGATGCGGCAACCCACATTCCACGTCACAGGCGCAACAAGTACGCCGAATCTTTTGTGGATTGTTTGTGTACTCAACGTCCATTCAAAGCTTCTTCGCCCATCTGGTTGATGTCCTTGGTGCTCATGTCTTCTCCGCTCCTCTATGCATGCTTTTACTTGAGAAAACTGCGAACCGTATTACCCGCCAATCATCCGAGGAGATTCAAAGCTCTCTTTCTCTGCCGATCTCCGTGTTCCAGCATTCGGTTTATGCCGTTCAGATTCATGTTTGTTTTCGACTTCGAATATCCTTTCAAGCTCTCTTTCCTAACGTATTTTGACAGACTGCAACTGAAATATTGAAGGAAAGCCAACGACTCCTCGACCATGTCAGCGATCCTAAATCAATAGGGCCCTTCTTTTTGGAAGGAACAATGTATGATGGCCTCGATATAACTAGCGCACTACTGACTTGCCCCTAGTGATAGTGATCATTTGGTTTCATTCACAACTGTAATGAAACGGCGTCTCCAGGCATTGATCATCTTCATTGGGTTCGCCCTCAAGGCCAGAGTAACCTCTCCTGGAGCATTAGAAAGACCTACAATGAGCATGGTAATTGCTCAGCTCATAAAGCTGGCTACATCTACTTCGAGCGAGGTCAAGACCGACGAGGTGTCGGAGGTTGCCCGCCTCTCTCTCAGGAGGCTGCTGGTTTCCATGTCTGTCGTTGACTTCGTTGACGTCATAAATTCAATGCTAGAATCCCAGGATGTCAAGGTGAGGGTGTTATCCTTTCTCCTTTTTGCAGCAACTCACTGGCCTTTCAGATCCAAGCTGGTGCATTGGAATTATTGGCAAAGAGATTGCCTCATGCATCCTCGAAGATGCGCTCAAGCATTAGCGCTGTGATCAATAAAATCCTGGTTTCGATCAAGAACACCCTTACCATTCAGAGAGACAATCAAGTGACCACATTTGCTTTTCAATCCATGAAGTCCATTGCAGCAACCCTGTGTCCAGGCGAAGAAGGACCAATGTCGGACTTGGTTCCCTATGTCTTGTCTGGGATCAAAGAGCAGGAATTAGTTTCTTTTGCACTTTCGGCGGTAGCATCAATCAGGTCAGTCGTTTCTTTAGGAAAACAAATTAGCTGTATTCTCATCTTGATACACACTAGTATTAAATTAGGGCCCCGTATTATTCCTTTCTTCCGTTCAATCGTTTCCCATTGTATTGCCATCCTGCGCGGAAATGACACAGGTAGGGATTTGTTCTCCATTTGTCAGATTTCTCTGATTTGGCACCTTCAGTCTTGTTCGAGGATGCACTGGCGATTCTACACGGGTTGTTGACGACTATTCCGACATTTTGGGGCAGCGGTGACGTGACTGAGGTCGTATTCTTGTACATGGATAAATTTTCATTCGTCCCGACTCCGCTGTCGTTGGCATTGTCAAATTTGACCAAAGCTCTGACGAAACGAACGCCTTCCCAGACCGTTCTTCCGGCCGTCTTCGAGATATGGACGAGACTACTGACATCGAAGAATCTGGTAATTATTCAAATTGTCTTTTTTCCTCTTCTGATGTATTCGGCACTCAGACGCAAATATCCGCGTATTTTGAAGTTGTAGGGCGTACCCTCCAACATGCTGAACGCCCGACAGTACTGGAGCACCTTCGAACTGCCTTCAAAATCTTCTTGGAAGCTCTAGACATTGTCAAGGTTGATGAGCTGGTATGATTCCTGCCTTCCCAGTTATCCAACAGTTGCTAATTCTATCATCCAAGGCTGAAATTCGAGTCATTTCTGCTTTCAAAGAGCTAGTCGTGAAGTTGAATGAAGCTGCGTTCAGACCTCTGTTCCGTCGCCTTCACGATTGGGCATTCGCGGGAGAGATTGGTGAGTATAAAACACTCAACTAGTTGACAGGTTACTTGACAAACCTGCCGTAGCGGACAACCAACGGAGGACCAGCTTCGCCCGCCTCTACATAAACCTCCTCGATTTCTTCAAGGTAAGCCATATTATTACCGGCTATATTTCTTCATAATTGAAACCTTGCGTTTTAGGGGCTTATGGTCCCGTACATGGCGATCACGTTGCAACCATTCAGCAATATCTTGAAAGAATTCTCCACCTTGGAAGACCTCTCGTTATGGCTGGCTGTAGTTCGTACAATTACCCGGGCATTGAACTATGACGATGGCGGTATGCTACATTTCCACAACTTCGTAACGTGGTTGACTTTTTTCAGGGTTCTGGCGAGATGACAAGCTACGGCAAATTTCATCGGGTCTAACAGGCCAGATAGAGGTCTGCATTAGATTGAACTTCACAGAGGGCAAATCAGAATTGCAAGAGTGTTTGGGAGTGCTCATTGAGAATGTCACGGATGACACCCTCCTGAAGACTGTAAACCTAAACATCTTAATGCACACACGTTCAGAAGATCCTCGGGTTCGCATATTCGCCCTGTCATGCTCAACAGCTCTGTGGAGTTCGTATGGCGGGAAACTAATTGGTGCGTGACGAAAAATGATAAGATTTTGATTAGCCCTTCACTTCCTAATGCTGATCAAAAATATTGTATAGGATTTGTGGCAGAAACGGCAACATTCATCGCAGAATGCAGTGAAGATGAAAATGACGTGGTTGTGAAAGAGTCCTTCAGACTGAAAAATGCTGTGGAAAATGTAGTAGGGAAGATAGATGGGCTATGATATGCACGTATATGAGCAGCTAGATGATGGTATGTATGGATATAATGGGAAAACATTGAAAGCAGGATGGGATGAGATGATGGATATATCAGAGAATAGATATACGAGCGAGTTGCGCAAATAAAAAGGAATTAGAGGAAGTAGTGGAATCCTCGGGTATATGCTACAGGCGAAAGAGATAAGTCAAAGAAAGTTAAAAGATTGGAAATATCATGGTATCGTCTCTTCCTGAAGTGACCCTTCGATAGCCATGCATTGAGAAAGCAATTGGACAATGACCTGTCGCCCGCATGCGTTGTTAATGAAGGAAGACTGTAAAAAAGGAATAAGTATCCTGCGGGTAGAGGCAAGAGGCATTTCGATTCACTTTGAACAATTCAGTAGGACCTGGCCTCAAAGATACAGGCTCAGAGCATTTTCGTAAGAAATCGTGGAAGGCCGGCGAGTAGAGTTCGGGCTGGCGGAGGGGCGGCCAGCGCTCGGCAAGTTGTTGGGTTTCAGCAAAGGGAGGCTCTGTCTGGGCCATCTCCCAGACTGTCGCGCCGAGGGACCAAACATCAACCTTGAGGGTATTATAGGGTGGTCTGCGGACTTCTGGAGCCTGAAAGACAGAAGGTATGAACATAATGAATAAGGAAATCATTGAGTAGATGGGAGACAACAATATTACCTGCCAGAATGCGACGCCGACAATATCAGAACGCATTGGAGAGTGCTGTGTTACTTGAACAGCGTTGGAGAAGTCGGCTGATCGGAAGGGACGTTCGTCAGGATGGAGGGCAAAATAGTCACTTGCGGCTTACCAAGCTTGAGAACGCCGTGCTTGTTGAGTAGCAGATTGTCAGAGCGAACATCGCGATGGGCGATATTATGTTTCAGGAGAAAATCTAGAGCATGCAGCACCTATATCACAAAACCGAAGTTAATCAATAAATCGCGTCTGATCATAAGGCAAAGGAAACAAACTCACGTCACTAGCAAACCGAGCGATCATTCTATCTTGTAACATCAGCCCATTTCCGACAAGGCCTATGATATCCGCCAAGCTCCTCTCCATGAGCTCCATCCGCACCCACAGGCTGTCCTCCACCAGGTCGACGTACACCCCATCCATACCCAAGACGTTCTCATGACTCAACCCTCGCATTAAGCTCAGTTCCTTCTGCAAGTCCACGAGCTTGGGTGACCCACTTGGTACGATCGCCACGCTTTTGATTGCGACCAGCCGTATGCCGTCGGGGTTGTTTACAAGTTCCTCTGCGTCCTGAGCTTTGACGAGCGGAGGCAGGCGGAGCTTGCCTGCATTGACAGGGTTCAGGACGGCAGCGAACACAGACCCACTCTCGCCTTCTGCAATCTCGGTCAAGTCCAGGTAGTGGTCGCGCGGGTCCACCGTCTCGTCGATGAACTCCTCGAGGGGCGCAACGACGGCTGAGAGCCACCCACGGTATCGCTGGAAAGGCGAGAGGGGCGTCGCATTTGTTGAAGATGTGGCAGTAGTCGCGGTGGCGATGGGCGGACGGGCGGACGGCGGTGCGTCGTTGATGACAATCGTTGGACGAGGAGGAGCACCGCCATTTGCAGCGAGAACGGCTTGCATGGTCTCTTCGTCTGGATATGGCTCATAATCGTCGTCTTCCTCCTCAACGTATTCGTTGTGGCGATCATTGATAACAGGTAGTCGACGGGGAAGGGGCGGTAATGGTTGTTGGCCGAACGAGATCTTGTCAGGTGTTGGCGAGGGTGTCTGTGCCCCATCGAGGTAGTACAGCAGCGGGGAGGCAACACCGCCATCTGTTGTCGTTGGAGTTGTCAACGGTTGTTCCTGCAATGGCGAGCTGCTGGATGTGTTCGACGAGCCACCTGAGTCTTCACTGCTTCCACCACCGCCAACAAATTGGGAGTTCAGTGGCGAAGGTGGGTAGGACGGCTGTTTAAGGTCAACAGGTGATCTGCTGGGTTGGTCGATGACATATGCCCCTGCTCTGCGGGCAATCGAGACATTCCGCACGATGGTTGTCGGTACATGCATTGATGTAACAGTCAACGTTGACGTGCTGCTTCTTGTCGAGTCGCGGTTGGTATCTCGGGCATCCACCATAAGGTTGTCCCTCTCTCTGGACCTCGACGCACTAGGCATGCGGCCATTCACGTTCGCATCGCTAGCACTGGCAGCTGCGGCCTTCTTCCTCGAAACAGCCTGACCAAACCTTGGACGCTCAACAGACCCGTCATCCTCTTCTTCGTTGCTGTACACACTACCATCGCTGTCATCGCCTTCGTCTTCATCACCTTCGTCTTCCATCTCCATTGCCAACGCGTCCTTTAACGTCCGTCCTCTCTTCTTTGGCTTCGGCTTTGCCGCAGGCGGAGGTACAGTACCCTTCGCACCTTCCGCCTTCGCCTTCCGCACGCCTGCTACGCGTTCCTCCTCAGGTGTGAAAGGAAGTGTCGGCGAGAACGTCTCTTCAAACGCAGGTGATGAGCCCACCAGGTCGCCCACTGTCTGTGGATCCTTTGAATTCGCGTTTGTCACGGCGGGGCTCCTGTCCTGAGCCCTTGTGGCAAGTGCCGCAACACCCACTGGCGGCGAAGGCAGCGACGAATGAGCCTGGATGTTCGCCAACGCCGAGCCACCCTGCCCAAAGCTCCCTAACCCAGCGCTCTTTAACACGCCTTGCGCACCAGGTGGCAGTGCGACGCTGAGGTGTAGACCCGGAATCGCGCTCATCATGCCGGGATCCATCATCTGCTCGATTTCGTTCCACAGTTGCGCCGAATCCGGGCCGGCTGACGAGCCTGCAGGCGAAGTCTGGTCTGCGAGGCTTGTCGGGCTGAGCATGCCCGCTGTTTGTGGCGGTAGAGCGTTGGAGCCGCCAGAGGACGAGTTGTGCGTGTTGGATAGTGCTGCATTCATAGAAGAAGCCTTTGCCTGGGTGTTGAGCGGCAAAGGCTGTGGCAAAGTTCCTAGCGTTGTTGAGTTCCTGCCAGACCCAGAGCGCGAATTCGAGCGCGAGCGTCCTGCGGCTCCAGCACCTACAGGTGGAAGCGGTAACGGGGCTGGGCCAGCTTGGTCCGGGCGCGAGGGGACAGGAAGACGTGGAGGTGGCTTCGATGAGGGGATTGGCTGACCAAACTTACGACCAACCAATCTTGTCGTGGTCGTGGTCGATGTCGAACCTGTATTGGTACCTGTTGAGGGTTGGCTCACGCTCATTGTCTGAGCATGTCCTGGTGCCCCTCTCGCACGCGCGACAGCAGCGGCATGCTGCTGGATCCTGAACATATTCACTGCACCCGCTCCGCTGGCTGGCGCGCTTCTTGGGGTATCTTTTTCTGCGTCCTTGAGCCGCCCAACGCCGAACCCATTCCACTCCTTGCCTTTCGCCCGATCATCGACACTGAACTCCTTCCCGAACAAGCCGAAATCCAGCCCTAGGCCACCTCCTGCTCCGGCATCACCAATTCCAGACAACAACGCCTCCGACCAGGACGAGAGGTCGTCGCTCCCGTTGTGCTGGTGCAGCGAGAGGCGAGGGGCATATGCAGGCGCCTTTTTGAGGGGTGACGGATTGGTCGAGCTGGAGCCGGATGGTCCAGCCACACCGTTACTGTGCACGCTCGTGCTTGACCCCGATGGACCATTGATGCTAGAATTTCCGTACACCCCATTGACCGCATTTGACGCGCTCCGGCCCCTTCCTCGACTCCCATTCCTACCAACAAGCACAGCACCTGGTGCAGGTGACGCCTCCGGTATGCTCTCCAGACTCGTCATGCTCGCATTCTGCTTCTGGTACTGCCCGCCAATGCCGACGCGGAGAGAGCCGGCAGAACGCTGCGAGCGCAAGGACGATTGCGACTGAGATCTTTTCCTCCCGTGCATGTTCGTGTTAGAGTCCGCATTGGAGGGCTTTCGTCGAAGACCGGCGAAAGCTGGTGTCTGGGAAGACGAGACTAGTGAGTGCGTTGACGCACTTGCGCCTGCGTTTGCGTTGGACATCCCTGCAGAACCCGAACCAGACGTAGACGCAGACGCAGCCGCAGGGGGTTCTGCTGGCCCCCTCCTTGATACGTCCGTTGATGCCCTCGGTCTCGTATACATCTCCCATACTGCTGGCCCGCTCCTTCCTGCATTTCCGGGCTCTTCAGAGGCGAGGAATTCTTCGTCCTCTCCTTGCTTCTCTAGCCCTGCCTCGCTCCCGGACCCACTTCCACCCACACCTTCATCCAACCTCTCCTTGTCCTTGCCCTTATCTAACCATGTCTTCTCTTTCTCTTTCTCCTTGTCCGACCCTCCACTTCCATTCCTACCAAGGACCTTCGATTTCACCGCGCCCACCAGCCCACCAGCTAATGACGACGCCGAGGCTTTCCAGCCTGATGGGGCGCCAGGGGTAGCAAATGAGGACTGGAGGCTCGGCGAGAGCCACCCTGATGTTAAGGACGACGATGCAGGCAGTGAGGACGACATCGTTGGTTGAGAAGTGGATGCTGAGGAAGAAGCGAAAGCTGAGGTTGAGGCTGATGCAGCTGCTGATGTAGAAACAACCGCAGATGTTGAGGCCGGAGGATTGGAGGTGTTGTGAGAGTGCGAATGTAGGGAGTTGGACAACGAATGTGAGATTGAATTAAAGAAACCATGGCCAGAATGGGACGTTGAGCTGGAAGGGTGCGATGCCTGCGAGGTCGAGTACGAGTTCGAATGTGAGTGCGAGTTGGATGTGCCCGATATTGATGCATCTCTCTGATGCCCCTTCTCACCCGCATGTGGTGGTAGGTCGGGTACAGGCGCAGCAGGTAAAGAGGTCGAGGAAGAGGAGGCTGCAGAGGCTAAGTCCTTGAATGACTTGCTCTTGATGATCTTCGAGCTCCAGAGTGATTTCAGATTCTTCCGTGGCTCTTCCGCTGGATCTTTCACGGCTTCCTCCTCTCGCCCT